AGATACTTAATAAGTCAAAGGATTATCAGTTAAAAACAACATTTAATTCTTCTAAAAATCCATTTCAAGTAGACCTGAACTAACATGTGCTGATATGTAGGCAAAGTGGTAAAAAATTAAAGATTGGTGACTGTAGGGCCATTCACACTAGCAAGTAAATCGAGGTCCAACAAACCCAATGAAAACACAGTTGAACTAGAGGAACGGAGAGGCGATACCGCCTCCGGATATAGTACCACCAGCTGGAGCAAGCGCATTCATGTGGAACCCCCCCCCAAAAAAAAGAGACACCACCACCAGTCTTATGCTTGACAAGCTCTATAAAATGCAATCAACAAGAATTCTCAAAATATGCAAAAAAAATATAACCAAAAATAGTACAATCAAAATTCAGTTCATCATAAAAAGTAGGTCAAAGGTCAATTTTAAAGTCACAGTTAATTGCCAGTATATGACTTCCTATTCAAGTTCAATAGTAACTATGGACCTATCTCTGCCAGTTTTGGAGATAAAAGGGAACAAAAATTTGCAAAGTTCAGTTCATGGTGAAAAGTAGGTTATAGGTCTATTTTAAGGTCACATTAAATTGCCTCTAATGACTTTCTATTCAAATTCAATAGTAACTATGGGCGGATCTTTGCCAGTTTTGAAAGTATAAGCATTAAAAAAGTTGCAAAGTTCAGTTTATGGTGTAAAGTAGGTCAAAGGTCAATTTCAAGATCAGAGTAAGATTACCAGTATATAACTTCCTATTCAACTTCAATAGTTACTATGGACCTATCTCTGCCAGGTATGGAGTTAAAAGGGAAATAAATTAGCAGAGTTCAGTTCATGGTAAAAAGTAGGTCAAAGGTCAATTTCAAGGTCACACTTAGATTGCCAGTATATGACTTCCTATTCAACTTTAATAGTAACTATTGACGTATCTCTGCCAGTTTTGGAGATATAAGGGACTATATGTTACAATTCCGAGTTACAATAATGTGCCACCACAATGTACTTTTTAATACAGCATAACACAAAAACCGTATGAAATACAAAAAAACGGAGACCACATCCAAAGTTGGGCTTTACATGCTCTACAAAATGCAAAAAAGAATGGGTCTCTAGCATTAACGGTTTCTGAATTAGAGACAGTTTTTAGTTTCGGTATCTTATGGCCGCTACTCCCGTGAAAATGCACTGATTGACCCCAAATTCACGGAGATGAAAGATGACCCAAAGGGTAACACTTTCCAATAATATTATTGGTTAAGTCTGTGTAGTGTCTGAATAACCGCGTAAATAATTTTTTTTTCGTAAAAAATTTGTTTTTTTTTTGAAAATTTTGGCCCCTTTGACCTTGGAAAAAAGGTCAAAGGTCAAATCCAAGGGCATATTTGTAATCTACACATATGACTTTTGGAAAACCGTCTGTAGATTTTTTTCCCATAATTCCTTCCGTAGGGTAGATAATTGGTATTGAATTTTCAAAAATTTTGACAAGGGTGCATTTCAACGAGCGTCACGCCCAGGTCAATGCACCGACTGAAACAAAAAAACCTGGGTGTTCAAGTTGAGGTTATATTTGACCTAAATCCAAGAGATGGGGACAGGGGTCCTTGTGGTCTAGGAGGAGAAGCGGTAACGGTGACTTGTATCCGGCGCCAGTACGCGGAGCCAGCGGAGCTCACAGAGCCGGCGGAGCCGGATGAGACGGGCCGGGATTAAAACCATGAGTACCGCCAGCGTACAAGCTGGTGGTACTAATAAGCAGAGTTCAGTTAATGATAAAAAGTAGGTCAAAGGTCAATTTCAAGGTCACAGTAAATTGCCTCTAATGACTTTCTATTCAAATTCAATAGTAACTATGGGCGTATCTTTGCCAGTTTTGAAAGTATAAGCATTAAAAAAGTTGCAAAGTTCAGTTTATGGTGTAAAGTAGGTCAAAGGTCAATTTCAAGGTCACACCTAGATTGCCAGTATATGACTTCCTATTCAAGTTCAATAGTAACTATAAACCTATCTCTGCCAGTTTTGGAAATAAAAGGGAACAAAAACTTGCAAAGTTCAGTTCATGATGAAAAGTAGGTCAAAGGTCAATTTCAAGGTCACAGTTAAATTGCCAGTATGTGACTTCCTATTCAACTTTAATAGTAACTATGGACCTATCTCTACCAGTTTTGGAGATATAAGGGACTAAATGTTATAATTTTGGAGTTACAATAATGTGCCATAAATTTCCTAAAGAAAAAATTAATTAAAATAAAGAAATGCCATTTTGGTTGAAATTCTTGAAATAGGAGGTGCTCAGAAGTTCCAGATGTTCAAATTTCATGAAATAATGTCATTTTTGACCAGAAATTGTCTGCCTCGCCAAGCCTTGTTTTATTTCCCTGGGGTTCAAAATTTATTATCCATTACCATACTGCACATTTTGCTTTCAACACCACCATGTACTTTTTGATACAGCATAACTCGAAAACCTATGAAATACAAAAAAACAGAGACCACCTTCAGTGTTGGGCTTTACATGCTCTACAAAATGCAAAAAAGAACAGGTCTCTAGCATTCACGGTTCCCGAATTAGAGACAGTTTTCAGTTTCGGTATCTTATGGCTGCTACTCCCGGGGAAATGCACTAAATGACCCCAAACTCACGGAGGTGAAAGATGACCTGAAGGGTAACGCCTGCCAATAATATTATAGGTTAGGTCTATGTAGTTTCTGAATATCAGCGCAAATAAATTTTTTTGCGTAAAAAATTGTTTTTTTTGAAAATTTTGGCCCGTTTGACCTTGAAACAAAGGTCAAAGGTCAAATCCAAGGGCATAATTAAAATTTCCACATATGACTTTTGGAAAGCCGTCTGTAGAAATTTTTCCCATAATTCCTTTGGTATGGTAGATAATTAACATTTAATTTTACCAATTTTGGACAAGGGTGCATTGCAATGAGCGCTACACCTAGACCCCAGCACTGACTAAGCCCAAATTTTATGTGGAACGAGTTGAAATTATAGGTGACCTAAATCCAAGAGATGGGTACGCAGGCCCTTGTAGTCTAGGAGGAGAAGCGGTAACGATGACATGACGGCAGAGCCGGCGGAGCCACAGGAGCCGGCGGAACAGGCAGGGCGGGACTAAAACCATTTGTACCGCCAGCGCCTACGCTGGTGGTACAATAAATATATACTCTAGGTCCCATTCAAGACAAAATGATCTGCCATGCAACTAGCAGATCCGCCAACTAAATAGGACTGACCCCACTTTTAAAGTGATAGCGCTGAATCCAGAAGGGCTCATCGGATCCAAATGCGCCCTTAAACAGATTTAACCTCGTATCTGGGTGTGGGGGTGAGAAGACTGTAATGGAATTAATGGCATGGTTTTTGAAGTGAGCTAAAACATATTTCGTGGACGGATCTGCTTGTCAGTGGTCCATCTATTTTGCTGCTTCAAAATAACTCACAGGCATGCTGGCACGCACACACATATTTCTGCTTCATCCATGGATATTTAAAAATATAAATTTATAGAAAAAAATCTTAAGCCCAACCCCATAATGCACTAAAATTCCGAAGTGTCCATGTACGTCCCTGATGATGGGTAAACCAGTCACCCAAGTTTCAACTTTCTACCTCTAATGGTCTAGAAGGAGATAGTGGAAATTACAATAACAGAATTAAAAGTCAACCACTGCCAGGGACAGCCCAATTCCCCTGCTGCATTAAAATTCCAAAGTGTCCATGTATGTCCCTGATGATGGGTTAACCAGTCTAGGAGGAGATAGTAGAAGATACAATATAAAGAGAATTAAAAATCAATCACCCCCAAGGAAAGCTTAAATCCCTGTGGCACTAAATTTCCAGAGTGGCCATGCACATTCCTGATGATAGATCTTCCGATGCCCAAAGTTTCAGCTTCTTAACTCTAATGGCTTAGGAGGAGAATGCAGAAATTACAATGTGATAAGAATTTAAAATCAACCACCCCCAGGACAGCCCAACCCTCTGTTGCACAAAAATTCCAAAGTGTACATGCAAACCTCTGATGTTGGCTATACCAATCACCAAAGTTTTAACTTTCTTACTCTAATGGTTAAGGAAAAGATAGCAAAAATTACATTGTGAAAATATGAAATATAGAATCAACCACCCCCAGGACAGCCCAACCCTCTGTTGCACAAAAATTCCAAAGTGTACATGCAAACCTCTGATGTTGGCTATACCAATCACCAAAGTTTTAACTTTCTTACTCTAATGGTTTAGGAAAAGATAGCAAAAATTACATTGTGAAAATATGAAATATAGAATCAACCACCCCCAGGACAGCCCAACCCTCTGTTGCACAAAAATTCCAAAGTGTACATGCAAACCTCTGATGTTGGCTATACCAATCACCAAAGTTTTAACTTTCTTACTCTAATGGTTTAGGAAAAGATAGCAAAAATTACATTGTGAAAATATGAAATATAGAATCAACCACCCCCAGGACAGCCCAACCCCCTATGGCACTAAAATTCCAGAAGGCCCATGCTAAGACTGCACTGAGTGTGTAACTATGTTCTTGCCTACAGTTGAGTAAAACAGTTGCATCCTATCATTAATACAACAGAGGTTATGATAATTTTTTTCAGGAAGAAAAAATTTAAAAACAGTCCTGATCTGGGGCTTATCATGTACTAGTACTGTATTTATGGAGGTCTTAATGACTATAAAAATATTCAAGAGCAACCTTAGAATCATGTGAACAATCAGTCATGGGCAAAAATAGTGCTAACAAAGAACTGTACATTTTTACATATGCATAAATTTCAGGAAAATATACAACGGTATTATATTAAACAAAACTGCCATATAGGCTTGATGTTTCAAAATAACCAACCCACATATTGCCAACAATTAATTACCTATCTAGAAGTATTGCCTTGGTATGTACTTGGCTGCTAGTAGCTATAGATAAAGTGCACATTGCTGGTACTTAGATGATCCTGAGACTTAAATGACAAATATCTAAAAAAATACTTACATTTTATTGCCACACTAATTATCCTGACAAGGTGACAGAGTGGCTACGGTAACTGTGAACTGTGAGCTGGAAGAAATATAATATTATATAAACACAAATGTTTATTATTCCATCTAGCAGTGATGCTCCTTATATAACAAACATACTCCCTTTACTTTTCATCAGCTCCACATGTTGCGAAGAAACTATGGTTACTCAAAAAATATACACAGTATATAATAATAATAATAATAATAATAATAATAATAATAATAATAATAATAATAATCTTATAGTCTGAAATCCATATAAAATGTCCAGTAGCTTTTACAGGGGTAAAATGAGGAGAATATGATCAGACAGAGTCAATAAATGGACAGTTAGGATATAAAGATATTAAAATATACAGTAGAATGTAAATGTACGTGGCCTATAGTAGCTATGCAGATAAAATGCATATTACTGGTATTTAGATGATCCTGAGACTTAAATGACAAGTATCTAAAACAATACTTACATTCTACTGCCACACTAATTATTCTGCTTCAACTGAATGACTACTTCAACTGTGAACTGTGAGCTGGAAGAAATATAATATTATATAAACTCAACTGACTATTATTTAATCTAGCACTGATGCTCTTTACATCACAAACATATTCCTTTACTTTTTATCAGCCACATTGTTAAGATGAAACTATGGTTACTACAAGTATATTAAAATATCACCAGTAATGTCAGCAATTACTAGTACTGTAATACAGAATAAACCTTGACCCCTTTTGGAGGAAAGTACACATGCTGTTCAACACCATAAAACCAATGCATTATCCTGTGAATCCATGAAATGCACTCTCTCCAAAAAAGAAATGTGGCATCAGGTCAGACAAGCAAGACACCATTACCATTTAGTGAGATTTTTCACAAAGCCAAGCTTAACTTTCTTTAGTCATGAGTAGTGCTGATGCACTTCTCTAAAAGTTACTGCACAGTGTCAAATACTGTAGAGCTATAGGATACAGTTTTAACATGAACATCTTCAATGTCTGGTGTTATGTATGATCTTTTCAACTGTTGATTAGGATTTTTTGTTTTATTTTTGCTCCTTAATTGTTTCCAATAGCAGTATAAATAACTCCCCTTAAATACTAACATTAAACTGAAATTTACAACTTACCAAGCTTCTTCTGTAAACCTGTGGCTTTCTTGGCAATGTGTCTACTTGCACATTTCTAGGTCACTGCATCTCATTAGTCAAATGAACTGGGAATTGTGGGAAACCTCCTGATGAGAGCTTAATAAGGGAGTTCTGGCTTTTCTGTTAACCTCTCCACCCAGCGTGTAATAAAAATGCAACAGCTGCTGAACAAACCACCCAAAATGCTGCTATGTCCTTTCTTGAGTGTGCCAAAGATGTATTTCTAAGAATGTGTCAATTCATTTCAATTCAATTTATTTCTGTACTGGTACATAGATTGTCATATAACTGGAAAATTAAATAGCAATTTTTTAAAGTTTTACAATTGTAAGTAATGTGGTTTGCCCATAATGGTCATCATGACGGTAGTGCCCAAAATATTTTCTTCAATTTTGATGCAATATCACATAATGCTTAGCAGAATAATGTCCATCAATTTTTAATAACAAAATAGTAATGGATGTTCAGAAAATGTGCCTAGCAAAGATCTTCAAGCCAGTGAAAGTTCAGTCACACCTTGATGGGTGCCCAAGACATAGACATTCTTAGAATGGTTATGTGTTTTGTAAATAGATGCTTAAAACAAAGAGAACAGGCCCTCTATTAATGCATTGTACTCTCTCCAATGTACTCATTCTAATTCATCACCTTCATGTATAGATTGCCATCATACATTCCTTATATAACTTATTATAAAGTAACTTATTGATATTATGCTACATGTAAACATTGAAATCATGTATATTTATATTTATTTATATACCTGTTTGTACTGTTGTAGTTAGATGTAATTGTCTTTGTCTTTGATTGTACCTTATTTGTAAAGGTGTATCAATAAAGAATCTTTTTTGCCTTGAAAATGCCAAAATACAAATAAGTTAAAAATAATAAGAAGTAACACAGTTTTCTTTTCATAGTGTTTGAAGTAGCAGTGCAAAAAGATTTTTGTCAATTTTGATGTAATATTACATAATAAATTACAGAATAATTATCACCAATTTTTGATTGACTATAAATAGCATGGGCATGTACAAAATTTGGTTACTATTCGGCTTTATGTCCATAAGAGCTCAGAGTCCCACAATGAATATGCCAACACCATAAAAATGAATATTTCACTAAAATGTATAACTTCCAGAAAAAGAAGCCAATTAGACTGCTTTTCCAACTCAGGCTGCATTTTAGTCCTGTGTTTCTTTTTTGAAAGTTTGACAATCATAAGTAACATGGTTTTCCCATTATGGTCATAGAAGCAGCACCTAAAATTGTGTTTTCTTCTATTTTGATGCAATATTACATAATGCTTAACAGCATGATGACCATCAATTTTTAATAATAAAATATTAGTATCATGGATATTCAGAAAATGTGACTAGCAAAGGTCTTCAGGTCTATGAAACTACAGTCACACCTTGAAAATGCCAAAATGTAAACAAGACAGCAATGTTTTGAAATGGTTTTTTTTCCGTTTTTAACAATTTTTTAACATGAAACAAAATTAACAGTTTACTGCCATTTTTATATGATCAACTAAGAAAATTGATGAGATGGGGAAAATATCAATACAACAGTGTTAAATGTCCAATTTTCTCCATTCTGAGATTCTGAACATCATGAATGATTGAATCTGACAAACTGCAATGATATGAGTTTATTTCCATATTTGAAACTCTATCACATAATACACGATAACAAGTTTACCATCATTTTTAAAAAATCAACTAACAATGTTGTACAGATGCAGGAAATGTAAAACAAACACTTTTACGTATCTTATTAGTTAAATAATGAGACTGTTAACATGCCTAAGAATTGAATCTGAGGAAATGTGAATAAACAGCATAACTTCTAAAATAATGGCCCGATAATGCTGATTTTCGAACTTGACCTGCGTTTTAGTGAGATTGATTACTCCTGTGAGTTTCATGACAACAGGCCTATTGTTTTTCCTTGAAATGTGTTAACAGTGTTGCATATAAGCTAAAAAGTGAAAAAACAGCATAACTTCTATAATAATTGCCCAAACATGCTGATTTTCGAACTTGACCTGCGTTTCATGAATATTTATCAGCTCTGTAAATATAAAGCCAAAAAGTAAAACTGTCTTCCACTTATCGTGTTAACAATGAAAGTGCACGGCGACGGCGACGGCGACGGCGACATCGACGGCGACAGGAACGGCGACGACAGACGCAGGTGATGGCAATATGTACAGACACATCTGTGTCTGTACATAAAAATGGTTGGACTTAGCTGACATTTTTAACTTGACCTGCATTTTATGAATATTAATCAATTTTGTAAGTTTAAAGACAATAGGTAAAGCGTTTTTTGGCTTAATGTGTTACCTCTGAAAGTGCACCAGGACTGCAGCAAGGTGTTCAGTTCACAAATATTATCTCCAGACTTGTTAATTAATTTGATTGGAGTCACTTGCTTGTGCACTCGACTCATTTTATGGCCTTACCTGTAATTATGTAGGTGCATTACAAAGGGTGACAACAGATGCAGGAAATCGAAACCACAGAACACAAAGTATCAAACAAACAACGTCTTTATTTGTGCTGAGAACACTAAAGAGTCAGAAGTCATCTGCTTTATCCCATTGTATCAAACAAAAAGTCATTCTTTGCACCGAGAATATTAATTAAAGAATCAACTCTGATGTCATCCATTTTATATCTGTATCATACAAACAACTGAGAACTCTAAAGGTACATTTTAAGGCCATCATATTTTTTCCTCCACTCCCATCCCACATCTCTTGTCATTGCAAAAGAAATGTGTATATATAAGCTGCTCTGAATAGGACATCTCTGAAGTTGTCTGGTCGATCCCCCTCGGCAACGTCAATTTCATACCAATCTACAATCACGACCCCACCCAGTCCTATGTTTCTTTCCTGTAAGTTTAAGAAGAGTAGGTTGCTTGGTTTTCTTTAATGGTCAGGAGGGGGGGGGGGGTGTCCAGAACAACAGGCCTTGGAATGGGAAGCCGACTTCCAGAAAAGTTAACCAATAAGACAGGTTTTAGTCCCGTTACTTTCCTGCAAGTTTGAGAAGAGTAGAGAAGAGTAAGTGACATGGTTTTTCTTTAATGGTCACTATGGAGGCAGTGCCAAAATAGGTTTTTTTCTTCAATTTTGATGCAATATTACATAAAGCTTAACAGCATAATGACCATCAATTTTTAATAATAAAATGAAAGTAACTTGGATATTCAGAAAATGTTACTTGCAAAGGTCTTTAAGCTCATGGAAGTTCAAATGCCAATTTGTGAAAAATTAAACTTTCACAAAAAACTGTATAACTTCAAGAAAAAGTAACCAATCGGACTACTTTTCCAACTGAAGCTGTATTTTAGTTCAAGGTTTCTTTCCTGTGAGTTAAGAAGAGTAAGAGTAAGAGATATTCAGAAAATGTGCCTAGCAAAGGTCTTCAAGCCCATGGAAGTTCAAAGTCAAAATGCCAAAATGTAAACAAGAGATAACTGTACTGAAATGAATTTCCATTTTCAACACCTTTTTAACATACAACAAAATTATCAATTTACTATAATTTTTATATGATCAACTGACAAAATTGCTGATATAGGAAAAATATCAAGAGAACAATTCTTAATGTCCAATTCGCTCCATTCTGAGATGCTGAACATAGTGAATGATTGAATCTGATAAACTGCAATGATATGAGTTTATTTCCATTTTTGACACTTCTTTCTGTAGACTGTGTCTGTACATAAAAAATTGTATTTTCAAAATTTTGGATGAAGTGTCATCAAATTAATCATGTGAAATTATATCAGGTCACAACTTCCAAATTGCCAAGTTTCAATCATATCGGGTATGGATAAGTGTGTGTGTGTGTGTGTGTGTGTGTGTGTGTGTGTTGGGAGGGGGGGGGGGGAAAGAGAGGGAAAGGGATGCAAATTGACCAAGCAAGACATTAAGTACATTGAGCATATGGAAAATTGGCCAATCAACATAGTGGAAAATCTACTGACAGGCCAGGAGCTGATAGGCAATAGATGGAGGTTAAATTACTCAAGTGGATGGGCAAGCTATGTTGTAAAGTTTGTCAATAAACAAATGAAGCCTATAATGATCATGTCACTTGATTAAATGACAGAAAGGCACAAGTGGTCAACCATTAATGGGTCAATGCAAATTCAGGGATGAGACTGCCCCCAGTGAAAAAGTCGGGAAGTATGGAATGGGGTCCAGGGGGCTGCCTGGGCCAGTGATCATTTTGGCTCTTAAAAATGTCGAGGAACTGCCCATAGTCAGGCCTACCCAACTACCAGACTCGGCACATAAGGGTCCTGAATTAACGGACCACAACGGACCACACTACCCGTTTTCAAGGTATGCGTCTGATAACATTTCGGAGTATCATACCCCAGAACAAATTTTGTAGGACGACTGCGCTTGGATGGGGGGANTAACAATGAGTAAGTACCACGAGTCTGAAGAAAAATGGTGACAATACTTGATTCCAAGTAATGTGAATGGCTCCATTTCCTACTGCGGCATGCTTCCCAGAATGACTCCAACATATGCAAAAACAAGTAAATTACTCGAAAATGATGAAGGATGGCAAACAGTATAGAACTACTCTTGTCTGCATGGGTCCTATTCAAAATGACTTTGTAAAAAGATTTAGATATCATTCTCTGCACGAATGACACCATAGTCACTTGAAACACATTAAAACAACCTCAAAACCCCAGGGGAAGGAAGGCATACCTATTATCACTGTAATGATACGTCTCTTGAGGACTGAGCTGGTGTGATGAGATGAAAGACTTCTAATCATAGAAAGTCTATCAAAGATAATGTCAGGACTTGTTAAGATGTTTCCATTTACACATAAGGCATGCCTGGACCAAATTGTCTTTATCAAACCAAAATAAAAGAATTGGAATGATACTAGCTGTTGAATTGATTTCATTCCCTGGCCATTTTGCAGTACCTGGTAATAATACATTATCTTTTAAGATACATTGTAAATGTATAAAAGAATATCAAACAAATGGTGGATAATAAGATATATACTCTTCAAATAAATTATTTACTTACTTGACAGACTAAAAGCAAACTATTGATAGATTTTTATCAATTGTGGAAAGAAAACTAGTTTCTAGTCTACCAGAAGTCATCGACAAAGCAAACCTTAAAGTTTCCTAAATTCTGCTTACCAATGGAAATGTTTAGTTGTAGCTAGGTTACTTCTCTAATTTTATATTAAAAATTATTAAGAACAGGAAGGCTTGAACTTACTGAACTTCATTTTTAAAACAAAATGCTATATTAATCACATGAGGTTTGACTGCAATATGAAATCAGAATTGTTTTGGGATTACAATTTCGATGAAATCATCATTAATGCTGCAATTTAAATCTCACTTGATAACCCAAACACACCTGAGATTCAGGCAAGGTTGAGTTCAGTATCAGACAATCTTTATTTAAACTAACCAGAGTGAATAAAATCCCCAGCCCCAGCTCCATGCTGCAGCTCTGCCATTATCTAGCCCTAATACCATAAAATAACCATTCAACCGTTCAGCTTAATGGAGTCATTCTTTCTTTCTTCTCTAAGTACACATGTATTACTGCATGTACTCTTTGCACATCCCAGAGCATTTGGTATTAATTGCTGCCTTGTGTCAGAACATCAAAGAGATCAATGTTTTCCTTTTTTTTCCTTTTGTTTCAGCAGATTTATTGTTGAACTCTCAGTGAATCCCGGCCATCTTCACTTTATAGGACAAGATTTCTAAAGCAGTGGAAAATTTGAAGAATAATGAATTTTTCACTTCTCAACAAAGGGACAAGAAATAAACTAAAAAAGAAAATATCGTAAAAAAAGGAAAATATGCTGAGAGGATGAATCTTGCAAAGCAATCAAAGACCAGTATTAGTAAAGTTTGGCAACAGCAGGGGTGGGGGGAGGGTGATTGTATAGTAGGCACGCCTCATATAATACATAACTGAGGTACCAGTGCCTGATCTGTATATACTAGTATATATTACTATATGTAGCCACTCTCCTTAAATATATATATCTACTTTGTCTCAGGATCGCTATGGACAACGGACATTAACCCAGTGGCTTTTTTTTTCATTTTTAGGCATCTTATCTCAGAGTTTTGGTTTTAAATTTTGACATTCTTTTCCTGACTGTACATGGCAGGTGCCTAGCTATAATCATATGCACCTTCAAACTATAATACAGGACTGCATGGATACAGAATTCTGTTTTGGCAATTTCTCAACTTTCCTGACCAACCTCACCAGTGTCAGTCTAGACCAGTCTAATCTAGACAAATTTCCATGGTTTTCGTGCCATATAACATGGTTCTGAAATGGCCTTTACAACTCCCTCGAATCCTTTGGCCAGACCCTCAGCTCTGAGTGGGAACCATCTGGTTAACCCCAAGTTGCAAGACTGAGCTTTAAATCGAGTAAGATTCCATGAGTTTTGGAGAAAAGTGGTATCAGAAAAAAAAGGCAGACTATGGAGTGTATAGTGCGCCAATGAATAAAGGCTGACAGAATTCATCCACAGATATTTTTCTGGTTATTTTCTTGTGAGTTTTGTTTAATTAAACTGTAAATGTCACTTAATTCTGTACTGCTTTCTAAATGAAATTAATGCCTGGTATATATGGAGTTCCACCCTTGCCACTGAAAAGTTATCCCCACCACACATGGATTCCCACACAGTTTCTGATCTCATTTGTCAACAGGCTCAATTTCAGCAATATCGGATGATTTCAATTGACAATTCACGCTGACTCTAGAGATTAAAATGCATCCACCTTGCAGCTGGAACTGATCGAAGGTGTTTACCAGTGCTCAAATGCTACTTTTAAGTAGCACAGGAACATAATCCTTGTAATCATGTTCATTATGAAAAAGCTACCATGCTGCTAAGCGCTTTCATCCAACTCATTAAGACTGATTGACTTTAAATCAAGTGCACATTGCATTTGTTCATAGAAAGTAATGAGAGCAGTTACCTTCACTGTACAACTTATCTTAACTAAAACTGGGTTCCCATGCCTAGATCGATCCATCTGGATCAATCTAACTCCCTGGGGAGTCTCACTAAATTGCTGTTAACTAACACCCCATTTCCATAAATTTTTAGATCGATCTATCCCTGTGGGGAGTCTCACTAGATTACTGTCAGCTTGGCCGGCTTAAGCGTCTGTCCCGCCTACTAAAAGCTGTAAGGGGGTAATTAACTATGTGACTGCAATTTAGCCTGAACCCCCAGGGAGTTAGGTCGATCTAAAACTTAATCTTTAGATCGATCTAACACCCCATTCTCATAGATTAGATCGACCTACATTGGATCGACCTAACTCCCTGGGGGTTCACGCTAAATAGCTGTCAGCCGGGCGGACACGAAAGTTAATTACCCCTTACAGATTGTAGTAGGCGGGGACGGACACTTAAGGCGGATTATCTGACAGTAATCTAGTGAGACTCCCCGCGGTGATAGATCGATCTAAAAGTTGTGAGAACAGAGCCTAAATCTCTGGGAAAGCACCCTAAGAGGCTTAAATGTCAGTCACGCCTACCGAATCAGCCAGGGGGTAGAGATAATTACCCCCTAACAGCCGGTCAAGTTGACAGCAATTTAGTGAGACTCCCCAGGGAGATAGATCAATCCAAATATCTGTGAAAATGGTTCCTAAGTTTCCAAATTAATTGATCTAGAACTGACTTAAAGATCGACATCAAATCACCCTTATTATCCCTTAGAGACAAAGACACTTGGAATTAATAATGTTCTTCTCTTAGGAAACTGAAAGGTTGATATGTTCCCTTCACCTAGGCCAAACGTAAATTTATGAACTCTCTGGGACCTTTTCAAGAGCTGCAAGCATTGAAATATAGCCTTGTATGGCTGTTACAGGGCAATGACTTTAACCAAAATTAATATTTACATTTACCTACTAGTACTTTGAATGTCACATTAAACAACCACAGTGGAAAATAAATCATTACTGCTCTCATGATAAAAATAACAATCTAATTTCTGAATCAGTTTGATTCAGACTATATATTGGAAGGAAAAACACTTTATGTAAATTTGTTTGGTGGAAAGCGGCACTGGCTTGAGGATAAATAATTTTGATATTATGACTAAGATCATTAATTATCAGCAATTTCAATCATTTTTTTAAATTTAATGCCTTTCCGATTTATTCTGGAAGCTGGCAGATTAATAGTCACTATAAGCAAAGGTGTGGGTCCCAAGTGTTTGAGACAAAATTTCGATGCCTAAATCATAGCTACAGTGTGTGAGGTCTTTAATCGATCATTACTTACCACTTCGGTGCCCTGGATATGTCACTTAATTGGAATCCTGCTCCCTGTGCTTCATTCTTTGAGGGTTTCCACGAAATGACTGCCTGTAAGCATATCAGGGTGCTTTAAAGTATCAGATCAATTATACCTACCGTAAGATGTTTTCTGATTTGCCACTTTTTATTTCTATTTTTCACAAGCTGGCATGTTATTGGTCAAAACAAAAAGACTGAAGGTGATCACCAGGGATAGACTTAAGTCTCTTGACTTAGTGTAAATGGTAGCAAAAAACAAATTTGGAGGAGAGTGGGGACTAGAAATATTAGTAGTCTAAAGATGCAGCGGGGCAATGAACATATTTTATGATCCAAGCCCATGGCCAGCAATTTCAATAGGAGCATTCTTTTTCTAAAAAAAGCGGACCTTTTACAATGAAACCTTGGTGTTCCTAGATAAAATTTTACCCAGAAGGAACCTTATCCCCGCAAAAAGGGGGATCCCAGAAACCCCTCTGGCTACAGGCCTGTGATCAGGCTGACAGAATTACATGTAGTTGTTTTCTCACCAGTCCTGCAGCATTGCAGTCTGTCGCACAAAAGCATGAATGAACCATATTTTGCATTTCACATTTCCATCTTAGATGACAAAAATTCACAGACTGTTTCACCTTATTGGCTAAAACCATACCCCCAAACCATGCAGATTCTTGCAAATTTTCTAGCCCCGTATGATGCCCAAAAGGGGGATTCTTCTTTCTGAAAAAGTGGGCCTTTTACAATGAAACCTTTGTGTACCCAGGTCAAATTTTACCTTGGATGAACCTTTCCCTTACAAAAAGGGCTTTTTTTTCAAATCCCCGAACCCCCCTGTTACAGGCCTGATACCACACAGTGCTTTAATTTGCGTAACAGGCCATCTCCGCTAATCCCTTTCATTTCAATGTTTTACCTTTGAGGAGCATGCAATTACTTGAGAACTAATAAAATTAATTTACAGTTATGTATAGTTCTAATGATACAGACTGATGAAATAAGCCAAGATCAATTTGAAATCTAATTTAAGGCATTTTGTGTGATGTGATTTAATACATGACCAACAGAACTGTGTCAATGTCCTGCACACAACAAACACCATAAATGTATAACCACCCCAGGAGATTTACTTACAGCTCGATTACAATATATTTGTTTGAGAAGCTAATATAACATAAATTCAACAATCTATACATATATATTACAGGGCCCAATAATCAGCAAAGGTTTTGACTTTAATGGAGGGACTGAACTCAATCTTCCCTACATTATTATGTGTCCTGCTCTGAGCTTAAAAAATAAATTTAAAACCATAAACTCCTGCTAGGTCCAAAGTCTCTGTATTAATTATCAAATTTGAATACCAGTCTTTTGAAAAATGCACCCCTTGTTGGTACATGGACATGTAATAACCACGTACATTTATTAACGAAGACAGAGGAGGTGGGGGGGGGGGGGGGTCAGCAAGTTTGAACAAACTGCTCTCTTTGCCTGGTTTATGTCAGCTCTGGGCAAAATTCGATCTCTGTACACAGACGTTTTATGGTAAAAGGTCCTCTTTTTCAGAAAAAGACCCCTCCATTTGAAATCGCTGGCTCTGGGCCTGATAGCTATTGCACTCTTTTAGAGTCTGACTTTGGCTCCGATTCCATCACAGCCGTTCACTGAAACATTCATATACATTTATACCTATTGGTAATTTATCCTATGAACTGGTCCATTGATTGCAGCTCTGTTGCCATCCCCATGGTATTACATGCTGCACTTAATCCATCTCGAAGTGTCCCCCAGGGAGTGGTAATCTGGAAAATGTGCCCAGAAACATGATTATAACACAACAATACTGTGTAGATTTTCAAGAGCATGATGATAATGATGAAAAAGTGGGTAATGCAAGCGAGGCCAGGCCTTTTCATATTACTGTTTAAAGGGCCAATCCACAGGATCTTCCTGTCAAAATAAATACTTTGAGGTTCTCTCTTTGAAAATCCCCTACAGTCATATTTATGTCCTGTAAAGCTTCTTATATTTCCCCAATTTACTCTAAAGACAATTAATAAAACCCTTCAGATAAAAAATTATGATAGCTATATAGTGTACCTGCGTCGTTATTTCTACAGTGAGCCCCCTCGGGTAGCCATTGCCAACTTGCGATATCTGTATAATATATGACACAGGGACAAAATACAAAACATCCCGCTACTTTCTTGTGTGAAAACGAGGCAATTCTCATGATGGCAGATCTTGTTTTAACTTACTTTGACTGGCCAGTCCTTTTAAACAAAAGTAATAAATCAAAAATTGAATAACAAATAGAATCCAATTGCAAGGGCAGCTAGGTCTAGCAATAATTTGCAAGAAGAAAATTGTTCTTAACCCCAGGAAAATTCATTTTGGTGGGAATATCTTATTAGTTACCCTTTAACCGATACCCAGTGGCAGAGCAATGGTGATTAACAACTTAATATAAATGCATGTGTGTACCTTTGAAAGATTTTATATGGTAGGAGGGAGTTCATGAGGTGCGAAAATGTGTACTTGTGTCAAGAAAAGGTCCATTCTGAATCAAAAGCCAGGCTGCAGACCCCTATATCCATTTCATATGCTAGAACTACCAGCAGGCCAATACCTGAAGGGGCTACTCAGTATAAGGGTCCTACAACTACTTACATGTAACAAGGTAATATTAATAAGTTTTACTACTCCTAATTTTAGAATTTTTAAATAAGTGAATTTTGGTATCTAATGTGGACATTAAACAAACAGCTTCACAGTAATTGTGACTAGTGTCATCAGACCTAACCCTTACCAAAATATTTGGCCTGCTGCAAATTTGCAGTGAATTTGCAGCAAATGTGCTGCAATATTGCTGCTATCTGCAATATTACTTGCAAATTTGCGTCAAATTTGCTGCAATATAGCTGCAAATTAGCAGCACTAATTTTTCTTGCCAACTCCTGCATACTTGTTGCTGCAAACTTAATTGTCATTTTGCTTAGGGAACCCCCTTAAATAATCCCTAAATGAAAATTCATTGCATTCACATATTATCCAGAACCCATCCATTCGTTCTAGAGGCAGAATGTTTTCAGAACAAGTTGAAAACATGAAATAACTTGAACTGATCATGGAAGTTTGATAAACTTCCCTGGACTGAGAGAACAGAGATGTGCGTCTCTCCCGCCGCCACCATTGGTCCTGATTGCGTTAGTTGAGCCAAAACTTCGCAGACGACGCAATATTCCGCGAAGCATCGCTTGAAAACAAAGATGGCTGGATGAAGCCACAAGGACAGCAGTCTCTGAAAAGAAAAAGGATTTGCATCGTGGTATCTTGTCCTTTGCGCTATTTCAGCTACGGGATTGGCATTTAACAGAGGTGAGGCAGTATATGACTGGTTATTAAAGCTTAAAGCACGTCAGATTGTCTAGAAATGTATCCGAACATCTGCCGCCGGACGGGGAAGGATGGTCTAGACGTTTATAATTGTTTACGTCTGTGTGATTCAGTTAACGTGCAGGCACTCTTACCACTATTAAATTAGTTTTGGCGTAGTAGCTTTCTGTGAGGTGTTTTTCTGAGTCTTCTATCCTGCTTTTAAGACACAGAAAAGGACAATTAGACGTAAGAAAATTGTAGGAGCCTTATCGTAAGATTTACAATAAAGAACAGGATCCTGAATAAATAATTGGATAAATCTTGGACGTAAATAATAACGAAATTCGTAATTTTGTCCATGAATGGATCGATTGCAAATAAAGGAGAAATACGGTGACATTGATAAGCCGTGGTCAAATGACATGATTACCCATTTATAAAGAATGGCCACAGTAGAATTTGTTTATTTATTATCATTTATTAATTGACTAATTTTTGCTTCAGCAATATCAAGTGCATACTGTGAAATGCAAAATAAATAATATGTGTTAGAACTTTTTTGACTGAAATACTCGATATTGAGGTAAAGAGGTAATGCATTCCCTAAGTAGCTAACTCCATGTTATGATAACTAGTGAATAATTATTTGGGCCTTCTCAGTTTAATTGTATACTTGAGCTTTAGACTGGTAGGTGTCCAATCTTCATCTTTGCACTGTTGGTTGAACTTGAGATGCTTGGCATGTTGGAGTAGAAAGTGTTCTTACATTAAAAATATTAACATATATTGTGCTACATAAGAAATATAAACTAAAAGCCCTCAATATAATTCCAGTTTTTCCATTGAGTGGACACGGAAGGGCCATCAGTGCGTCGCCATGTCAGACAGTCAGCCACAGAGTGGTGGGGGCACCCCAGCTTCTTTGAGTAGTGTCAGTCCAAGCTCCTCTGCCACGCCCCCTGCCAGTGGCAATGCTATAGACCCCAACACCCAACAAGGACCAGTTCTGCCCCAGCAAGGCCTGGGTGTGGTCCAGCAGAATATGGGTGTGTCACAGGGAAACATCCCCCAGGGCCTGCCCCAGGGTATACAGGGGGTGCAGGTTGTTCCCAACCCTGCTGGGATGAGTCCGCAGTATGTTCAGTTCTATAATCAGCAGATGATGGCCCAAATACAGGGTGAGATGAAAGCACTTTACTCTCTCTCTCTCTCTCTCTCTCTCTGTATTTATGATTAGAGGATTAATTTCAGTACTAGAAATCAATTTTTGGAGGCCAAAATTTATTAACAAATGTGGATGTGGTATTCTGAATGTGCCCAGAAATAGTTGCAATACTTTCCTTCCAGCATTCCAAGCTTTCCAGAATCTTCAGGCCATGAACAGACCTACTGGTATAGGACCAAAGTCTCCAGTAGGCCAGCCTCAACCATCTCCTACTGGGCTAGTGTCCCCAGTACGGGGAATACCTCCAGCATTTTTTACGACTACAACTATGGTAAAGTATACAATATGTATATATGTACTGAAGCATGCTATTGTTAGTCAGTAGTAACCAGTTTGGTTTGCTTTGCTGATATGTGTTTTGGGGTGTGGGAAAACATGTCATTTCCTAGTAAACTTAATGCCATTCTTTGCACATCATCAAAGGGAAAAATCATTTGATTTTATTGCTTTGTGTCACATGCTATTCTTTTACCAAATAAACTTTGCTGCTTTGAATGAATTAGATTGTATGTTCATTGTGAAGGGCTGTGTTGAAGCTTGTGTGACAATGACCATTTTTCACTCATATGATGCGCAGCAAGTTTACAACATTTTAGTTGGAAATGAAGGAAAATATGCACGCTCTGCATGTACGCATGTTTGCTTGGCATTCAGTCACACACAAACACACACTCACACACCCTTCAACCAGACTACAAGACTTGGTTATCAAACAGAATATTGCATCAATTCTCTGTGTCATTGTACTTTTCCTTCTCCCTTGTCGTCAGATTTATTATGGTGGCCTCTCTTCATTAAAGCCTCTCCATCGCCCTAAATTTTGGTGTCCAACTAATTATTGCCATCTGCCCTTCAGCCTTAGTATTACAACAGTGACTCTTGTGCTAAATACTTACATAAGTTCTCAATCACCCTGAGTTTCTGAGTCCTGATTGTAATCTGTTTTTTATGCCAGTGTACACTCACTGTGAATGCTAAACTGAAATTGGCACCTCTTTTCTGCTTATTTATCTGGCTTGACAGTCATTTTATGTGACTAATTGTTGGTAACAGGTATAGGACGTCTAGGCTCACTTTTATTTGGTTAGAAAATGTTTTATGTTAGAAGCTTATTGTTTAGCTTTTTATGGTAAATTAGTATAATGTCATATCACATTTTTCTCAAAGTGCCATGATAATTACTAAAAATATTCAGTTTTAAGTTAGATATTTATAGTCTGAGGTATCTTGTCTTATTTGTTGAATTGTTTTCATTGACTTCTTACCATTCTTTTATGTCCATTTTTCCTAAGGTATTAACGATAGTTTGATCTAAAATGAGTCCATCTTTGAGATATTATAATTAATGATATTTTGGATCTATGCTCTCATTTTACCTATTTATATCTGTAGTTAGTACTAATATGATAATTTTGTGTGTCTGGCCACCTGCTGAGCTATGTCTGTAGTAACTGTAGCTCATTGGGGTTCAGTTCCAGCCTAAATTTAAAGCTGGTTATAATTCTATGAGATAAATTTTTCCTTTGGTTAACAGGTCAGAAAAAAATTGACTTAGTTTATATATGTTGATATATAAGTTGATTTTCACAATCAGACCAATTTCAGCGTTAAAAAAAAACAAAAACATACGTTAATTTCCACATTTTCACTTTCGAAAGAAAATAAATTTAAACTTGTGGGAGATATGGGTATGTGAGTTTTACCAAAGGCCTATCTAATTCTACCTCGATGCTACAGTTCTGCAGCGGTGTGTCTAATACTTCTAATACCGTGTCCTTCTTCCTCCTCCTCCTGCTAACAGCCGGGACCCATGAAACTGCCAGTGTCCATCCCTGTAGCAGCAACGGTGGCTGCTTCCTCAGTGGCCCAGCCCGTTGCCTGGGTAACAATTTATAATATGTGATTAATATATGCTTCAGTGGAAAAATGAATGGTTCCTGGGCAGCAATATTTAGTAGTTTTTAATGTGTGTGTGTGTGTGTGTGTACATGTGTGTGTGTGTGTGTGTACATGTGTGTGTGTTTGTGTGTAAGAGAGAGAGAGAGAGAATGTTATTTTTAAATACTTAAAAGTAATTAATTATATTCTTACTATTATCCTTTTTGTGCTACATTTTTCAACTAACAACAACTGAACCAGTATGCTGCTGCATGGAAGTTGCTATAAAAGTCTGTAGGGGTTTGCCCAAATTGTGCATTAAAATCTAAAGGAAAGATGATAAAATTGCTGGCATGTAAATGATGTAATACTTCATTCAAACAACTCCAAAATCATATGCAGTTAAATAACTCATCATGATTCCAGCAGTTCTCTTTGCGCTTTATAGCTGATTTACACCTTGACCAAACCTCAGAGTCAGACATTTTTTTCTCACTACCGTAGCCTCATGATTGTTAAAGCAAAGTACACATATAAGAATTAGAAGTATGACATAAAATAAATTACAACTGCTAGTATAATATGAAGTATAGTTAAGAATAGTAGAGTACAATGTAATACGGTACAGTATCTATAATATAATGATACAACCTCTGGTACAAAATTTCTCCTCTCTCTCCCTCCCCTCCTGCCATGCCCCTCAATACAGTAATTTAAAATAACAATTTCTGTTTCCCTTAGGGTGCCCCCATGAAGTTGCCAGTGTCAGTCCCCATGACAGTGACATCCGGAGCCCCTTTCACGCTGGTCACCAGCAGCAGTAAGATGACCTACGTCACACCAGGTGGAGCCACTGTAGCAAAGCCACCATCTGCACCAACCACTCCCGTGCCACACAGTATCAGCATGGCCAGTAAGGTGCAGGTGTCCCGACCTTCCAGTCAGCCGGGACAGCCTCTGTATGTGGGGCAGCCAGGTAAAGATGGGATAGACTGTTTGTATGTGTGAGTTCACTCAGTCTTTGACGTTGACTGAGGTTAGTATGTTGCTTTCAGACCTAAGAAAGGTGACCTTGAGTTATGGATGTGACATCGAGTGGGTGTAGATTTGTTGAAGGTTGCTGACTGAATTTTGTATTAATTATTTATTTATTTATTTATTTATTTATTTATTTATTTATTTATTTATGCATTTGTTTACAATGCTTGTGAAATATTATCATTTACCAATATATCGATGTTTTAATGTTTCAGGAGTGTCCACAATACCAACAAGTATCCAGGTAAGAGGACTCTGAATATAGATTTTTTATTAAATGTTCAAATGGAGATATTCATCAGGAAGGGGTAGTTCTCTTACATTTTTATCATTCATAATTTTTATTCATACTTGTTCAGATTATATAACAGTGTCTTACTTAGCCATGTAGTGTCTCTCTTAGTGCTTTTCTAGCTGTTTATTGAAATATAAACAGATAGTCATACCTGTATTTTCAGGCCAAGCCTCTAGTGGGAACAGTGGCGCCCACTGACACCTCCCAGGTGATACATTCCCTTGGCGGAGGTCTGCTCTCTCTGAGTGCTTTTTTAGCTGTTCCTTGAATGATAAAGTGATAGTCATACCTTATTTTCAGGCCAAGCCTCTGGTGGGAACGGTGGCGCCCACTAGCACCTCCCAGGTGATACACTCCTCTTCCCAGTCCTCCCAGCAGATCCCTCAACAACAGCAACAACAACAACAGCAGCAGCAACAGCAGATAATGACCAACACAGGACAGGTGAGTATACAAGTGGAAATGAGGATTGGTCTAAAATTTGAGTTGCACTTGGTTTTTGTCGTGTGTACATTTGTGCACACTTACAGGTATGTAGAAACTTTTGAGCACCTGAAAATGTAGCTGAGAACCTGCATTATACATAGGTGAAGATAAGAAAAGAAAAAAAGATTTGTAAAATATTTATTCAATAAAATTAATTGCACTTTTGTACTAATATACAATATATTAGGAATACATTACCTTGTCAAAGTGTCAATTCATAGGATGGTGCTTTTCCTCCTTTTATATTTAACATTCTCAGTTCCATACCTTACTTATTTCCTATCTCATGTAATAACCACATGTATTTCCTATCTCATGTAATAACCACAGATATTTTCTATCTTAGGTAATAACCAATACAGGGCAGGTTATCACAAACCCAGCAGTGTTAAACCAACTTCAGGCCATGGGGCTACAGACCACCACCCTCCCAGTGGCTGCTGGGGCTCAGCAACAGTTCATAGGGTCCCAGTCCCCCACCATCTTGGCCAGTCAGCCTGTCTTTATACGAGCAGCAGGTCCGCTTCAGTCCACCCCCCAGGGTTTAATGCAGGGGGTGGTGAGCATGCAGGGGGGTACAACTGTAGTGTCCAGCCCCTCATCAGCAGTTCCAACTTCTGTCAGGCTTGCCAGCCCCAGGGGTGTGGGAAGAGGAGGAAATGGGAATGGTACTAGTATAGCCGGGTCAAGACCTAGGGGACCCAGGGGTATTAATATGCCCTTCCCCAGGATTAAGGCGCCTAAAATCCCAGGTTCACGACCAAGGGGACGCCCACCTAAGATCAGCACCTCACAGTCAATCAGCACTCCCCCCAGGACTCTGGTGCGTCCTATCCGGCCCATTGTCTCTTCCCAGCCTGCACCTCTCACTTTGCCCACACATATCCAGGTGGCGGCTTCCTCCCAGCATCAAGTGCTGGTTACCCCTCAGCCCATGGAACTGAGTCAGCAGTCTCTACCTCCTAATCTTCTCCTGCCTTTACAGGCTCAACCCCCTTCAATCCAGCACCAACCCCCTTCCTCCCCCTCTCCACCCACATTAACCCCCATCCAGATTCAGAATCAGAATGGAGAAGTGGAAAAACCAGTCTTGAAGGCTGAGGGAGCAGTGCCACCTACAGTTGAGAGAGGAAGTCAGGCTGTTACCATGGAAATGAATGGAGGCCACCAAGAAGTGCTGCCCCCTCCTGGAGAAAAGCAAAAGGCTATTGTGAAACCACAGGTGCTCACCCATATTATTGATGGGTTCGTGATCCAGGAGGCAGCTGAACCATTCCCAGTAAGTGCTTTCATTTTTGAATGTAAGGAAAATCAGGAAACGAGAAAAACATAATGAAAAGTTACCATTATTATATGAAATAACAGTACAATGTACAGGAAATGTTTGAAATTCATAATTTTAGTTTGAAAAATGTTTTTGTGTTTATTTTTTCAAAGAGTAAAATAATTTGAAGTTGACATGGGGCTTCAAGGAAAAAAATATTAAAAACCATCGAAATCCATTTTGATACTTATAACTTAATTTTCATTTAAATTACTTCCTTTCAGGTGCAACGGTCATCACTTTTGACCAGTGTCCAAAACTCTGAGAGACCAGCAGTGGGTGGACAGGCAGAGGATGAGTCTAAGGACAGGAAAGGTTAGTTTGGGTAACATGGGCAGCCTGTTCTGCTTAAACCCTCGTCACACTTATTTGGATTCAGAAGGAGACAACAGAACCAGGCAGAAAGGAGAATTTTCAAAAATCGCACCACATTCAGTTTTGTTTACCTAATACCCAAGTCACACCAGAGTTATTGGAATGTGCTAGTATGAGCTTGGCCATTGGCTCTCATTCACCTTTCAGATGCAATATCATTTAAGTATAAAAATTATGGGTTGATCTTGAAACATTCCATAATGTTAGATTTCAGTTGCTCCTTTATCTCTTTATGTCTAGGCGTCAAATGTATCTGATTATTTTCTATCTTCAACATCTACTTAAATTCAACAAAATTTCTTGTGTTACTCTTTACACTTTTATTATTGTTTTGATAGTCTTAAATGATAATTTTATTGTGCAGTTCAGTTATTTTGACTTTCAGAAAAAATTAATGCTAATAATAACTCTAGTTATTTTTATTATAAACCTCAGTGGATTACATTCTTTATGTCATTGTTTCAGAATTTGATGACCAAGCAAATCAGCCCATGTTGAAATGCGAGTTCTGTGGGAAGGTTGCTCCAGCCAATAAATTCCGTCGTTCCAAACGGTTCTGCTCCATGGCCTGTGCCAAGCGATACAATGTGGGTTGTACAAGGAGACTTGGACTCTTTAAGAAAGGGGATGGACTACCACATCAGAGTAAGTAGTATTTAAGTCTTCTGGGGGTCATTCCACCAAAAAAAAAAATAATAAAATAATAATAATAATAATGGGACAAGACAGAATGATGCAAATATACCACAAAGTGTGAACTACAAAGAGTTGCTTTTGTAGTGAATTGACCCCATCAGTTGATTATCCTCTCTTAAAGTGTTTGATGCTTCAATGGAGGAAGAAAAGAAATTTCCTTGACCATTAAGGCTTGTAACATATTGAAAAATGTTTTCTTTTTCGTGTCTTCAATTTTTTGTTCCAAAAAGTTTATAATAGTGATTGTGATATATCATGGTACTAAGAATTGAAATGATTGGTTCATTCCAGATCCAACCAAGCAGCTTCAGAAGAAAAAGAAACTGATGAGATTAAAGAAGGGTTGGCAGCGCACAAAGGGTGAAAGAATGATGTACTCCTCTCTGCCTAGAGTGAGAGAAACGGTGGGTATATTATTAGTGTACTTAGGAGATTTACTTAAAAAATTTCATTTTCATATTTTGGTGTATTTTTATTTAATTGATTTTATCATTATTTTTATTCAAACATGTTGCATTTCAATAACTAGCACGTTTTCACCCGAATAAGCTGAAAAAAAAGTCAAATGCAAAGTTTGTCATTTTCTGTAATAAAAATTAAACTTGTGTTTTGGCTATACATGGCTTTTGTGTGCATGGATCAAATGCAAGCCTCCAACTCCTTTTGATGTATTGTTTTAAATCATTCCAGGCACAAGCTGGCAATGTCACTGAGAGTGGTGAAGATCAGAGCAGTTCCCAGAGTGTTCAAGATGAGAGCTCATCAACCACCCCTCCTTCTACACCACGAGACTTCACCATGGAACCCAGTGAGCCTAGAACACATCCTTCCAAGTGGTCGGTAAGTTTACGCCCCAAGTCCTGGGCATTCTTGTGTCAGTCACACATGGCAAACTTTTGGCCCAGCAGTATGATCATGCAAGTACTCATAAAATCACCCTTCACTGGGGTAGCGCTAGCAATTTTTTTCGCTTAGCCATATCACCACATTTTTGTCAATTTGTTATCAAACTGGTTATAATTTGGCTAAAACATGTCAAATCAAGCCCTTTTTCTTTAGCCAATTTAAGTCAGTTTTAGCATTCGGCTAAATTGGCGAGTGTTATCTCTACCCCAGCTTCATAGTGATTGGTAATTTAACAGGATTTTTGTCATTTGTGGCGGACTATTGGGTCATCATTATGATCATTAAACATGCATGTACTCTGAAAATCCCCACCCCCCCCCACCCCCTCAGAGTGGTTGGTAAGTTAACAGGATGCAATGCAAATTACAGGCCAAACTAGATAATATATATATATATCTGAAAGAATAACAGTAGGCCTGTACCCTCTTTGCCCTTCAACCTTGTAAGTAGCTTTAACAGTCTCAACCTCCAGGTCTAAGAAGTGTTCAATTTGTCTGAAACATGCAATGTACAGGCCAGTCCAGATCGTACATAAACTAACTGTTAAAGTAATTGTTGTTGCTTTTCTTCCTTATTACTAATTTTTACTGTCTTAACTTCCAGGTCCAAGAAGTGTACGACTTTATCTGCAGCATGCATGACTGTGCGGAGTACGCAGACCAGTTCAGGTCTGAAGAAATCGACGGACAGGCATTGCTGTTGCTGAAAGAAGACCACTTGATGTCAGCAATGAATGTGAAACTTGGCCCAGCACTGAAAATTTGTGCAAGGATCAATCAGCTTAAAGCTGAAGACAGTTAGACCATTGTAGTTTATTGCTAGAAAAAGTGATCTGTCTAAGGAAGGATGGAGGGCACTTGAAATTACATTGGAATTGAGTCTGTTTAAATTAGATATGATTAGGGAATAGGTGCCAGGGTTGGTCACTAAGGATGGACAGCTAAAAAGTTAAGATTCTTCCTGCACATGCATGGGTGCGTACATGCACTCACACACCAAAGTGAAAAATAGGAAATGAAAGAATATAAGTGTGGTTGGATAGTGATGGAGGATATAGATTAAAATGAAGGATCAAAGCAAGGTGGCATCACAAGGGTGTACTAGTAAAAAAGGAACTTAATTTTTTTTTTTAATCAGACTAAAATGAATAAAATAGATGGGCTTGTGCTTCCGATACTAAATTTTTTTAAACTTGGAAATATGTGGGTTTTATTAGGTAGTCCCAAGGAAAGGTGTTTCTCATCTTTTTAAGACTAATGGAATGCACACATTTATTTATTTATTTATTTATTTATTTATATTTAAATTATATTCTGCCTTGTGGCCTGGCCTTTAAGCAGGAAGCTTATAAGTCAGTGGTTTTACATTTAATTATTATAAACATGATAAATAATATTTTTACGTATGGAAACTATGTTGTATGGTTTTTGAATGTGCATTCAATGTTTTGTCCTTTTCAGGGCCACTGATTGTGTAGATTGTTTGTCGTACTGTACCATGGCATCATTATCAGTTCTTTTATATAGGAAGATATTTTTTTTTGCCAGCATTGTTTGAGGATACAACATTTTTCTTTGACTCAATCTTTGATGGAGTAAGTTGTTTGAGCAAAAAGGGACAATTCCAAAATGGGAATGGATAAGTCCATTGTCTTTTACCTCCATGCAGTTAATCAAAATGAAAAATAGTTCCAGGCTCCTGAAGTCATGAAGTTGATCAAGTAAGACATTTAAGAGCTTGTTCTTGCCAGTAATGTAAAAATCATTATCATGGATATTGTGAATTAAATAATGTATGCTTTTCTTTACAAGGTGCTTGAATTAGATATCACCAAAAACTCTAAAATTGGCATATTGAGCAAACCTTGTTGACTAGGAGTTTACTAGAAGTGTTTTACTTAGAAGGTGGGCATGGATGCAGTGACTGTTATAAAGATTTTTGACATTCAAAAAAAAAAAAAAATTCAATTCATACCTCATAAAAATATAGGTGGTTATATGCATTAATGCTAACGTGTTCATCACAATCCCTTTTTCAAGAAAAAGTTATTTCCAAAGTCAAGGTTTGTTTTAGGTTTTAGTGGAACACTGGACCTAGGCAGTAGTGGTTTGGAAAGTTAATTTTTTTCTCCACAGGCTGTGGTCAATTAATACACTGTTTTTAGGAAAATGTTTCTTATAGTTGAAGCATTAATTTGCTTATACCCCCTTTACACTGGATGGCGCCCTTTCTGTGACCATGAAATTGGCAACGCTGTGGTCTTAATAAGGAGGCACGAGCATTGATTTGGTATCAGAATGAATGCTCAATGGTCGGCCATTTGTCGGCACGTAAAATATTATAATTTTTTAACTCTCAAATGGGGCCGTACTGCTGTAGCAGAAAGGACGCCGTCCAGTGTAAAGGGGGCTTTACATGTTGAGAATTGTGCATGATAACAAATAGCACTCTGCGATTTTTTCTTTACAAAACTTTGGCATTAATAGCCCAGTAAGAGTTTAAAAAATGCCCAATCTAAAGTTGAGTTCATTAAAATATATTTATGTGTCACTTGTTGATTTAATCTGAGTAATGTTTTGTTCCCTCACAAAATAATAGGAAATATTTAAAAGATTACTCGTGAAGGGTCATCAGTCATAATGGTAATTGTTTAACCTGCACAGCAGAACTCGCTGTGAGCCTCGGAGCAATAGACTTAAAGGTGGATCTGTTTGCTAGTTTATATAAGCCTTGATAATGATAAGTGACTGTGTAATTGTTTTATAAAAAATGAATATTGGGAAAAGTGCACTTCTTGAAATCCCAAATATATTGATGTTTGTGTTTAAATATTGATTCTAAAGAAAATATGAGGGTCTTTAATCACCGTGTTGTTGTTAAGTGATAGCTTATTCCTGATGATTGCCTCAGTTATGGATATTTGTGAAACTGCCTTCGATGTACTTTGGGACATCCCATCTCATAGTTGAAATGTAGTCATATTAAGTTCATTTATTATTGTTGAAATCAGGTGGTACAATTCACGTGAGAAACGTTATATATAAGGAGGATCATGGGTTGTGTCCGACTTCACTGCCATTTTAGAATTAGTACGTTTAGTTTAATATTAAAAATGTGTTATGATGGTATATGTTTGAGCATACTTCAAAGAAGTATTTAATATGTTATTCTTAGTAAATACCGAATATAACAGATCAGCGTGTTGGGTTGTCTTTTATTGTTTTATTTTTCATTTCAAAATTCACGGAGAAGTGGTGTTTATGTTATTTTGTGCAAGTTCTTGGTGTTCTTATTCCATTAAATATTCACTGGTCCCATCCCCCTTCTTTATTTTATTATTTCATTATCAATTGACAAATAGCTCAGTTTTCCTATTTTGACGACACAAGCTACTCAAGAGTTCCCCTTTGGCTAAGTTTTCTGCTAGATTTTTTAAAATTTATATTTTTCTCTCTACTGTAAAAACAGCACACTGTGCTATATTAACGAATAATGACGAATCTACCATTTCTATACTTTTGAAAGTGGAATATGAAACGAAGAAAGAAAAACATTTGAAATGTGACAAAACAGATTTTGAGATTACAAACATTTAGCTTTGCGTGCACTTTGCAGAGGATAGTTTCAGATTACAGGAACCGATGGCAAATTAGAGAAATGGCTTCTTTTTTACAGTGAAATCGATACCTTTTAACAAAAGACGGGGATTGTATTGAGTTGAAACTGTTGTTTGGACATTTGAGGTAACGCTATTAAAGATAATTGCTTTCAAAATGAAATAACATGTTGTCACCTACAAAAGGCGGTTTGGGTGAAGGGAAGAGGATCTCTTTAACAGCAGGTGGATATGCACTTGTATGATTAGATATAAACATAAAAAAAATATTGGCCAGGGTGAGGAAAAGTATGTTATTACTTGCGCTGGTCGGTTACTTGGGAAGCTGGGGAAGAGGCATTTCTGCTGCAAAATCAGCCACGCACTCCGATTTCATGTTGTTTTACAAGTCAGTTCTGTGATTTTACATTGACCTAGATTACAATTGCCACTGCTGCCGAACGTAGGAAAGGCGTCGTAATTCCAAAGTTAAGACTTCGGTTAGATTTGATGATTGAATAAAAACAATGAACAAATCTTAGCTGTTTCTTCAAGTAGTTGCTGTGAACAGGTCAGCGGTTCTAAAAAGATGTTGCAGATAACATATTCTGCTCATAATTTAACTTGCAATTGATCGAACCGAAAACTAGAAATTCTGTATATATTTTGTTTATTTGAAAACATTTTGATTACTTATGATAGTTTATATAGTCTTCTCCAAATAACATGCTTGATCTCAACGCTAAGATCAACTTTCGACTTCAATTCTTCTTTGAAAACAAGCCTAGGCCATACTAACCACTTAACTAGTCACTATTTATTATCATTATAATCATATAGACGATCTACTTAGATAGTTCATACAAAAAAAAACTTTTTCCACTCTCAGTTATCAACATATGCCTTCTGTGCTGTAATAACGCTACGTCGTAATTTACTCAACTCGTCCCGTTGGTTGCTGTTTCAGTGCTTTCCGTCACCATGTCTGCCATCCCCGTAAACATTGCCGTTATGGTGGTTGGCATTGCGGTTTGCATAGGAAAACAACCGATACTTTTGATAAATGTGTGCGTTTCCCTCCGAGCCAAATGGATGACGGGCATCTGGTCGAACATCTCGCAAAACTAGAATGCAATTAGCGTACCAAATATAAATATAGCCAATCCTATATGTTAAAATATTTGTATTGTTACGTGTATATCAAGCATGTTCACTGGGCTGTATATTTAATGGAAAATTTTTAAAACTTGTTTTAAATATACATATGAATCTCAAGAACTGTGCGTTTTAAAATGCAACGAAAGTACAAAATGTAGTCAGTTTTGCACGAAAACGACTATATTCAAATAAAAACCTTAATATAGAATGCAAACAAGTATCTATTACATTTTATTTGATAAAATTTGGACACAGAGCGATTTGTTTAATCCAAACTACATTTTTAAGCAAATAATATTTCAGAAACTCGTATTAACTCTATGACAAATGAGGAAAAAAATATGTGTATACACTTGTGTTAAAAATAATATTACCACGTGTCTCTTTTGCCAAGCGAGTGACCTCCTTAGAGGTCGGCATTTATCGTACCCATTCGGATTGCATCGGCTGTTTCCAAGTCTTTGAGCGCATTCAGAAAAAGTTGATCCGTGGACTAACAGATCCGAGGAATAAATATGGCCGTCCCCACTTAAAAGCAAGCCGCCTTAACTCCCGATGCCCTCCCCGCCTCCACACGTGCCGTTCCTGCAAGCCCTAGCGATTAAATTTCAGAACCGAGATTAAATCCGTTAAAAGGCTCGAGTGGAGGCGGGGAGACCATCGTGGGATTAGGCGGCTTGCTTTAAAGTGGGATCGGCCATATTTAGTCCGCGGATCTGTTAGTCTGCGAATCATCTGTTCTCCATGCGCTCTTTCGTAAAGGTACGTATAGTTATCCGTGGATGGTCAAAATATAACCTACCTTGTATACAGCATCAAACTGTGCTGCGACGCATGTGTTATCCTCTACACAAAATTTGGAACACTCCTCTGACGCTGTGTCATTGATAACTCTCTTTGTCATACCTAAAAAAGTGTTCGACACAGAGAGTGTGATCTCGGCGCCTCTATTAGTATGATTCTGTAGGCCTTGAGAGAGAGAGAGAGAGAGAGAGAGAGAGTGCTTTTATCCATCACGCTTATACAGCAAGACCTTAAAATAAAAGTTCATCAATTCTGGTTTCTGGTGAACGATTGAGTTGAGTTTATAAGTTGATTTGACTCTGCATTCTGTATGAGAAGCCCTTATCTTTAACAAATGTCAAACAAATTTGAAAAAATTCCTAGAAATCTTGACGCTTTTATTTTAATTACCAAGGTATATCTAAAGGTGATAATAATATTACAATTTATGAAGAAGTTTTTTTAGGTTCAAAGTTTCTACCTTTTCAGCCATTCTGATCATGGTGGATTTCACGAGTAACGTAATTTAGTCATTAAGAACTCAAAATGTGTTTTTATATAGTAGATCGTGGTTTTAAATAACCGTGGTGATAAACAGAAACCAGCTGAAATTTACAGGGAAATTAATGTTTAATTATATAAAGGTCAACTCGCATTGTATGCCTTTAAGAATCTCAACAGACCCAAAAGATTTCCTTCATCAAAGGTGAAAGAAAAGTCTCTGTACTCCACCATTTCACACTTGCATCGGTCTGACTTTATGAACGCCGACCAGCCAAATTCACGACCTGGAATAGTTATAAAGATTCTCTAAATTTAATAACTAAAAAAATTCAATTGAATATTATCAGACATTGAACAAGCATTTTCTTATACAATCTTGTAATTATAATGGGGGAGGGGGGTCTAGAGTTTACTGCTGTAAATTAAAATTTTGCAAATTCATATTTTTCGCGCAATTCTATCCGTTGTGTTAGTATGTTCTGTCACCCATTAAAAGGATAAATGGAGTCTAGGATCGGAATGAAATAAAGCAGGAAAGACGAGGGCACGAAAAAAAGAGCATTCAAACTGTTCATGGTTCTTGATGTGTGTGTGTGTGTGTGTGTGTGTGTGTGTGATATCTATTTTACATCTGTTTGTCCTTGTTACGCATCACCTGTCATCCTTACGTGCTCCGAGAGGTAGCAGCCTCGTGTTCTAATATGAAACGTCCCTATTCCGCACAATGGGGTACCAATGCACAGCTGATGGCAGGCCTCTTCACTGGCAACTAACACATTTACCAGGTCGATTCCACGAGCGAAGTACGAATGGCGAAACACGATCATTTCAGGACACGATTCTTCATGGAAAAACACAAACAGATGACAAATACCATTAATGCTTCTGAGCTCCATCATGAATTGATTTAAAATGGTTGAATAGCCTATTTAATTGTTTTTGGTAACCTAAACTGAATTACACCTTCACAAGCATGATTCCATTCTTTTTTCATCAAAAGGAATTTATTCAACCTTTTTTCTTAATTCAAAAATTAGTAAACCAATAATGGTCTCGGGAATAAATCGGTAATATACCAGGAAGATAATGGTATAAATGATAGTTATGACAATTCAATTCAAGTAGACAATTCATCTACTGACTAACTATCATTTATACCATTATCTTCCTGGAAAGCATACATAAAGAAACACTCCGGTTTCAAGGCAAGAGGAAGACCGAGGAAGAAGTGGGTAGATGGAGTACGAGAGACCTTGCAATCGAACAACATCCCACTCACATCAACCAAGTATTCCAGCTCGCCAGAGACAGAAAACTCCAACTTTTTCTCCCCTCGACACCCTTAAGGGTACAAGAAGGATGAAATAAAAGTCAGTAGATAAGTGACTTACTGGTTATATACTAGTATATATATAATAAGGAAGTAAGCAAGCGTGTGACTTAGTTATCCAGTTTTAACTAAATAAGTTGGTAACTAATTTAATTGGTAACTAACTACTTAAGTTAGTCACTAAGATTTCACGCAGATCAAACATTACCATTTTTGGAGGGTGGGGGTAAAAACTGTGCTTGAATCAGTTGTCAGTTTTTTCAGGACTTTGGTGTTTCACTGTACACGAAGAACGTCTTCAAAGACCATGTTCTTTTCATACCTTGTGTAGTCGACTGCAAGGTTGTAGTCCCTTCTGTTGTTATAGGTTTCGTGGTAGGTTCAGTGGTATGTTTTGTAGTAGGTTCAGTGCTTGGCTCAGCACTAGTGGTGCTCATTGAAGTAGGTTCAGTGGTTGCCATAGTCGTAACTGCTGAGACAGTAAAATATTTGGTGTTACAGATAAACGGAATGTCGAATATATACGTAAACACTATATACATCGTACAAGACTCTTCAACTAAAATGAAATGAAATTTTTATTTAAAAAATGTCGAAACCTTCGATAGCTACAAAGGCATCTCAGGTTGAACTTCATTTACGAGTGTCCACCATCTACCGTGGCGTGTTTCTAGTGAATATGGGTCGAGCTATCTTGAAAACGTTCATATAAGTAGGCCTAAGTGGTTTGGCTGCGATTTGTGCAACATAAAAAATTAACCAAATGTGGACCCTGGAATACTAGAATTGCTGCCTGTCCAAGCCCATCGTAACCAGACAGCCCGCTGAATAATTGGGACATATTGGAAACTGTGTTAGTACAGGTATGCGTCAAATAATTTTTCCTTCGAGATCATTGCAAGATTTACATTGTTTCCTGAAATTTTCAAGGCAGTCGGCTGAACCGTTGGGTCATATATATTAGCAAAAGATGCTAATACGGGTACGCGTCAAATAATTTCCATCTGAGATTATTGCCCTTTGGGTGAAAGACCTACTCACTGATTTTTTCCGAAATAACCCAGACAGACAGCAGAATAATTGGTTCATAAAATTTGTTAATATGGTACGCGTCAAATAATTTTTCGTTTGAGATTATTGCACTAGTGGCCCATCGTGTGAAAGACCCAGTAACTTTTTTCCCCGAAATAACCCAGACAGACCGTTGAATCATTTGGCCCACCCACACCGTTTACAGCGCTCATTGTAATAACCTGACACAAAGAACAAATAGGTTTTCCTACCTTCAGTCGAACCCTCTTCTGAAGTAACATTAACAGTCGTAGCCGTGGTAACGGCAGTTGTTATTTCAGTAGAGGCACTGATATTTGCTCTGGCCGAGTCAAATAAGGCGGTGGTGTCGTTCACGTTGCCCCTTACGTCGCCTAGCATAACGAAGATGACGGCTGCGGCGGCTGACGCCATGCATACGAGAACTAGAACCACAAATAATGCTATCATATATTTGCGTTTTCCCTTGTCGGACTTTTCATTACCACTATCGGTTTCCTCGTGCATGTTTTCTCCGCTTACGCTGTGGAAGATATCTGTAGTGTAAATAAAAAGCAAAATTGATAAATAATTAGATAATCTAAATTCAAAATTTAAACGGCGAGATATAATATAATATAATATAATATAATATAATATAATAACTCCATGCACCATAAACGTATGGAAACGACTTTGGTAAATTGAAAAAAAAGTGAATTTTCAGTTATCTTTAAATATCATGGGTTCGCATGTAAAATTAAGTCGCAAATTATAGTCCGGCGGCTTACAGCATGCATGCATGAAGAACTTAACGCACGAACAACGCTAAATATATTTACATTTTTTCTTGTCGGACTTTCTATTACCATTGTCGGTTTCCTCTTGCATGTTTTCTCCCTCTACGCTTTGGGAGATATCTGAATTGTAATTACAAAGTGGAATTGAAAAAATTATTAAAAATTCGTATTTGAAAATTACTACGAAGAAAAGTTTGTAATACAATACAATACAATACAATACAATACAATACAATACAATAAAACACAACACAAGATAACACAGCGCAATAACAATTACAGGAACATCGAGACAACTTGAACTTTAAGATTGGGACGAAACCTTAACTCTACGGACCGAACAATTACTGAAATGACTTTTTGGTGAATTGAAAAAGTTCTCACTTTTCAGTTTACCCTGTCCGTAAGGGTTCGCACCTAAAACTCAGGTACAAATTGTTTCATCTTTTTTTTTTTATTAGGCATCGTTCTTTTGGTAACAACTGAAGATTTTTAAGTTCCATGTAAAAAATACCTTGTAAAAATGTGCGTTATGAACATCGTTTCATCTCTTACAATTTTTGGATAATTTCCGGAGTATAATTCATTGCATTCCAATTACATACAATTTAAAATGACTTAAAGAATAACAGATTTGAAAAAAAAAAAAAAAAAAAAAAAAAAAAAAAAAACGAAAAAAAAAAAATTCTTACCTGATGATTGTAGTTGTTCCATAGACTCGGTACTTGGGTTAGCCATATCGGTGAACTAAGAAAATGTGACAATGCCAAAAGCATGCACTCAAAAGATAGTCTCAAAAGAAGTCTTTAATGTGGCAGAACAACAGATGTGCGACTCCAGCCAATTCCTGTGCATTTTAAAGCCAAAGGGGTGTGCAGACAAATTTTCATTAGCCTACAAGATCCCACCATTCACATTTTCATTGCTGCTGTTCTGTAGACTTCTGTTTTTGATTGACAGATACATTTCATGTACTGATAGAAATTCAAGTAAACCTATAAAATACTGTCTTCTCCATAAATCCTGTAACATTTTCCTTTTTTTTCATAAAATGTATCAAGATGTTATCATCACGATATATTTGACAAAATGGGCACACACCCTGACCTGCCATATTTCCTGTCACAAGCGCAGAGCCCATTGTATTCTCTTGTTCCAGGGGGCATTTTAAATGAGATAAACGCATTTACCAAATAGATACAGCAGGTACGCATCAAATCATTTTTCATTTTGAACTAAATGCACGAGTAGCCCCACAGGTGAAAGACCCCATTAGCTGATTATTTCCGAAACAATCCACGCGATATAGAAACTGAGGTATTAGGTCGAACAAGTATGTATAAGCCGTAAAGAGACCTATGGGTAAAATAAGAACGACAAACAAATAATTATATTCTCGACTTGGATGACCACTTCAGAGTAGGTTGAAAAGGCCAGATTAACAGGGGGATGTATGTACAGTGATCCAACGTTTGAAGATTCAAAATTAACGTAATTGACAAACTTCATCGCCCATCTAACCATCACAAATGTTACGGCGTACAAAAATACAACACAGAAAGAAGGAAAGTGATTAATTATATATTTTTCTGCGGTTGTTTAAGCGGGTTTAATTTTCACCTGCTGCGCAGACAAGCATGTCATAGATCCTTAATATACGAGTACTAGTACATAGGCCATGTGAAATGTTTTAGCGTAATTTGAAGGTTCTTCAACATATCTAGGAAACTTTCTGATGTCTTCGTTTTTAGAGTAAAAGTTAATTAAAGATATCAAAGTCAGCGAGTAATTGGTTTTACACGTTAAAATTGAAGTTTGTGAGTCCTTTTTAAGATAACGCATGAATGAAGGGAAATGCGTTGCAGGGGTAAAATACTGTAGTATGAGCCTTATGTACTAAATTTGTAAGTATCAATTTAATAAGTTGTTGTATGCAAATACACTTACTGTGTAGGCAACAACTGTAGTGACATTGTGCAGCTTTTATTTAGGTGTGTGGACCTATGTTTTTCTGCCCCTTCTGATATAAATGTGCAAACCTACACTTCAGTTGTAGCTTTTTGTGATTTCTTTTTAAGATTCAAAATTCAACTTTAGTAATCATAATAAAAAAAGATAGCAATTCTATTGATTCCAATAAGCACATTTCAATACAGCTGTTTATGCTTCAGTCAAATCACCATTTTATATAACAGCAGTGTCAAAAATGTAAAATACTAAATATCTTTTAATTTTCTAAAGCCACAACAGATTGTTTTAGGCACTAATAAAGAATTCTGTATGCCAGTGTATTGGCACAACTGACAGTATTTTTCCTTTTATATAAAGTATGAATTATCAAATACCTGGCCATTTTCACAGTCAATTTCCAATTTGTTTAAAATGAAATCAGTGTCTTAATATCAGCTTTGTGAGCTCTTTGTTGTATGTTCTGAGTCAATGTCTTGATTTTCCAAATGACCTTCACCTTGATTTTTGATTGCTGAATGACCTTGACTTTCAGTTGTATGAAGGTCACTTGGAAAATGATCAGTTTTCAATTTTTTCTTGGCTCTGCTATCTGCCATCACTTGTTCTATTGTGCGCTGGTCTCTTTTGTTTTCACTTGGAACTAAAAAAAATGAAACAAAAATACACTTCATTCACACTCTGAAGTACACAAAAGAATAATCATGAAGAACTTTGAATTAGGATATTTCCTATATAAGCATATTATTTGTTCATATGTTATGAAATAATTACACATACAAATCATTAAAATAAAAAATCATTGGAAAAAGAAACATTAACCAGCAACTCCAATCTTCTAAACCTTTTAAAACTAAATTTCTACAGCAAAGTTAGTAATATTGTGAATTTAAAAGAGATTTTTTGATTATTCATTAAATAACCTTACCAAATCCATATGATTTATTTGCCAGGGTAATTTTGGCGGCATCTTTCGCTGAGGCTTTCCCAATCAAGTGCTCATATTTATCTTTATAGTTAGTCTGTGGTTTTGATGTGTCAGGCTTCCTTTTGGCCTCTTCTAACTTGTATTGTTCCTGCAGTGTAAAATTGCATATATATATATATATATATATATATATATGTGTGTGTGTGTGTGTGTGTGTGTGTGTGTGTGTGTGTGTGTGAAACCAGCAAATATGAAATCCTGTTTTTAGATTTAACTTTTCATAATAGAAATTAGGGATACTTTGCCTATTATTAATTCAGAGGGTTTATAAATCTTGTTCTCAAACCAAGTATGTCAAAACCTCTCCTAACTTGCCAGTGGGCAAGGGGCATTGGTATTACACTTTGATCTTAATAACACTTACTTCTGACAACCTATTATTTCTTTTAAGTTATGGGTACAACATTTGGAAAAACTCTGCAAAACTGTATATCTTTTAAACCTTTCTGTCAGGCCTATCTTTCTAGAAAGTTTGCAAGGAAGCTTGTTTTGTATAAAATTGATTATGACAACTGTTTTGTTTCAAGAACTGGATAAGAAACACATACTTCTAAAACTTTAGCTTGTTTTGCTTTCTCTGGATCCCACTCTTCTCCATTTCTGTAGGCAAGAATCTCCTCATCAGATGGTGCAAACTCCTGACAAGAAAAACAAAAAGTAACTTGAAAAACACAGAGAGCTGAGATCTCAGGCAAAGGAGCTCAATTCTAATTATTCTTAATCAATAAATAAATAAATTGATCATCACCAAAATCTAATTGATTCTTAGAGTGCATTCCCACAGATTTTTAGAACGATCTATCCCTGTGGGGAGTCTCACTAGATTGCTATCAGTTTAGCCAGCTTAAATGTCTGTCCCGCCTACTAAAAGCTGTAAGGGGGCAATTAACTTTCGTGCACACTCGGCTGACAGCAATTTAGAGTGAATCTCCAGATGGATCGATCTAAATCTGTGGGAACCCAGTCTAAGGTAGTCCATTTCAGTGGCCATATGGCTGCTGATCTGGGAACCGCTTAAGGTGGAAAACCACTGGTAAAAAATAGATTTCAGCCTTAAGTTTAAGAAAAAAACTGTGAGGAAGGGTACATTACATAGATATCATAACCATAGACGTAATGTGTCAGGATATTAAATACCTTTTTCCAAAGCATCACATATCTGTCCAACTCATCCTGTCCAAATGAAAAAGAAGTTAGACCAGCAACATCGGCTATTTCATGGCTGGAAGTAAAAATGTTTTCATGATTTAAGAAGCAAGTATGAAGTAGAAAACTATAATACAGGTACTGGTAGTATTTGATCTGAGTATCTTAAATGTTTAAAGCAATTAAGATGCAGTGTGTTAAAGAGAAAGACGGACCTCTCTTTTTTTGTTTCAACAATTCCTACGTTTGAACAATTAAATACATATTTTGGTGTTGGCTAAATCAACAATAAAATGAAAGAATCCAAGTAATACTACTAGTATGCAGTATTTCTAAATAACTATTTCCAAAGAATTTTATTTCTAGCATTTTGGTTAATAAGTGAAAATGCTAGCATAAGAATTACAAGTGAAAAAAAAAAATAAATAAATAAAAAAATAGAAAATTAAAAATAAAAACTGAATGGGTTTTATAATGGAGAAAGAAATCAAAATGTTCAAGAAAACAAAAAAGAATAAATATAAATTATCATATCAAACTCATAACTTTTCTTTGACAAATCTGCTTACACTGTTGCCCTATAGACTTTTTCCATACTTTCAAATTTGTAATTTTGCTTTGTATCATCCTTGATGAAAGCATTTATACGGGCCTGTATCTACAAAAGAAAAACATTCGGTTTAACAGAATATAAAATGTCTATACTTATATATTTTATATTTCTATATAGCATACAGGTGCTTTTGCTGCATTGAATAAAACTATAGAATAATCAGCATTTTCCTTTTGTTGTTACCACTCAAAAGGACTTCATTTGTATTGTGTATATAAGCAACTGATACAGATAAATAGTATATATGTCATTAGGAACGTACTCTCATTTCTTATGTATCTTTGAAGCAATGACAATGAAATATAGTAAAAAGTCAAACTGGACCAACCTTTTCTTTAAAAGCTTTCATCTTTTGCTTTTCTGCTTGCTGTATCTTTTCAAGTTTGGCTTTCTGAGCTGTTAAAATATAATGAGATATATCTATATCAATACATATTTATACACAATCATACTGTTCTAGAGATACCTCATACTATATACCTGCTGCTTTGATACCTAGAGTGATGAGAGAAGCACCCCGTTTCTCTGATGCATGAATGCAGCTTGTTATTCTTTGCCCTTCACGCAACGAAATCATTATACTCTGTGCTTCCCGACTTTCAGGATTTTCAACTTGCATTATCAGTGAGATCTGAATTAAGTTCAATTGATTTTTATTTTATGAACTGATGATTTTATTCCCCCCGTAAAGTGTGATCACTACCCCACCCCCAATGGGACCCTCATCTGATGGATAAAAAAGTTGCCATTATTATTGGCATGACTACATGCATGTACAAGTTCAGTTTTATAAAATTAAGTGAGTCAAAAGCCCATACCTTTCACTTTTTTCTTCTCCTCGTCCGCCATGCCCGGCGGCTTTTCCATGGTATCTAAAATAGACCCTAAAAGATCCATTTTGGATGGCGACTCAGGAAAATACTCAGTTGGCTGCGGGATCAACTTTAAACAATTATGGATTATTTAAAAATATTTCGATATTACAGCAATAATTATTTAAGTATGATGTTGACAGATATTATTTTTAAACTTTATATAAAGAATTTGGGCTAAAATATGCCAAAACAATGAAGAATACCCTTAACTACTGCGGGGTAGTAAAAGCTGCACGATCCTGCCCTCTAGCGGAGGCAAGGAAATGGCTGCCATTGGCCGCTGTGCAAAGCTTTGCCTTTACAGGCCTCAGTCATCTCTTCTGCGACAGTCTCTGTCTCTTTTGCCTAAGTCTCCAGGTATGTAAGCCCATGTTTTAAATTAATAAATCTGTAATTAGATGGGCATTGGCTGCAGATTGTTTAAATCCTTAGGGCAAGTTACGACCTTGCATTGATCAATTTGATGATCGAGTCGGTCATCTTGATTTTATTTCACTAAAACTCTCAAAAATTAAATTACCATAAAATGCCACAGCCAAGTACTACACTGTTATAATAATGAACCATCATTAATTAATTAAGGAATCTTTAAACTAAAATTCTTTTAAGTAAGTCCTCCACATGTGACCTATTCTGATAATTTAATCAAAATCTACCCATAACTTTGCGAACTTAGGCTGGTAAAACAAACAGACAAGTGGAGTTAAATTAATAGGTCTAAATAAATAAAATAATAATAACATGAATATTTAATAAATGATAAATAATGATTTTTCTCTTTGGTAAAGGTTTTAATTAAATAAATAAAGCAATAAAATAATGATAAAAAAAATTTAAAAATAAAAAAATTACTAGCAGCAAGTTTTTGCGAAATTGACCATAAATTGGACTAATTCAAGACAGTTTGTGAAGTGAAACTCCTAATCCTGTGCAATAAAAAATCAGGATCAAATGGAAATTATTTGCTGAACAAATTTGGTGAAGATCTGTCAAATGTAAACTACCCGGTGAATCCCTCCAGTACATGTTCTCCAGGTAAAGGGCTAAAAGAACTAGATAGCAGTGAAAGGTGAAGATAAGTTAAGAGATCTTCATAGCCTTATAGTTAGTACTGTTGTGTCACTGTCAATCACATTATAAAACTGTTTTTAAAATTATTGATTTTTTTCACAGAAGTCCAGTGTGCAAGGTGGGGTCATGGTAGGGTAATGAATGTGAGAGATGGCCAATACCTTACTAAGGCCTTATGGAATGATATGGTAAGTGAGTTTTACAGGCATGAAGCCAGATTTTCTCCCCCCCCCCCCCTCCAAACACCCCTTGCCTTTGGACCTGCTACATAAATGGCACTCTTTACCCACTGTCATTGTATGCAGTATCATAAATGTTGAATTTGGCTTTTCCCAGGCTTGATGGGTGGCCCAACTACCAATTGTGTTTCATAATTGGCTCCAAATCAAATGTTTATGGTAGTTGTAACTTGAAATATTGTTATACCTCTTGTAGAATTCTATGCCTCGGATTGGTCAGTTGCAGGGACTGGCTCTGTATATTGTGCCTGTATTTGACTACTTTTTACTTTTATTAACACTATTACCATTCGGTATTCAGCGACTTTGCGAAACAGTTACACATTTTATACTAATAAGATACTATATATATATCTCAAGGCTAGAGATAAAGAAAAACTTTTTATCAGCTGTGGCAGTGTTTTGGTAACAAATTAAAAAATGGATTCCAAATTCCTCCTCTTATTTCCAGCGTACTCGTATAATCACCAGCTTCTCTCTGTTCTACTTAATGCCAGAAGGAGGCGTGTTAATCTCTTAAACTGATTGCATTTAGCGAGGATCCCTGCCATGAAAAAATGGATCAGTGTAGACCAATGGTTTCAGTATGAATGTGCTCTAAGAATTTAGTATTTTTCTTTTCCAGCAATTTTGGTTCTTTGTTGGATTCATACCCCTTACTGGTATTGCATTGTATGCAAATATATTTGTTGGTAAGTATGTGGTATGAAATTTTATCCCTTCCTCCCCTTCCCCCATTTAACACATGAACGTACTTTGAATAGTGATAATATCAATTTTATTTATAAAAACCCTGCTTAACTTGAATCTTGTACAATGTGAAATACAGAAATATTATTGTCAATGATAGTTCAATAGCAAGGTAAGTGACTGAAAACTAAAAAAAAAAAAAAAGACAAGATTAATTTTTTTGAGGTATGCAAAACAACTTGACCTCAGATCAGGTTCAAAACTTTGTATTATTATTATTATTATTATTATTATTATTATTATTATTATTATTATTATTATTATTATTATTATATTAAGTCATATAAGGAGGCCTAGGAATAACTGATTGAGATGAGTGCATTTTCTTTTTATGAAGCGACTGTGAGGTTTGTTATCTGAGAGTTGAAATACTATTTACCGTAATGTAATCGAAATCAAAATGTGTACTTTTGTGTCTCTTTAGGGGAAGCCAAGCTGGAGGAAATACCAGAGGGTTACTGCCCCGAGGAATATGAATATTTTAAAGTAAGTGATTTTTTTGTATACTTTTAGAAGTTGAATGCAGTCATGTGCGAAGGTTTTTTTTTTCTTGCTGGTTGTTCGGGTCACCTGGGTTAAAAAAAAAAAAATCTACATGCTTAGAGAAAAAGTTTACACAAGTTGACTGGCAGTTATTTTTAGGCCAGTGTTTACATGTGAAACGGATTAGTTAAACGCAATGCAGTTCTGGGGATTAAATGAAGGGCTTGGTGGTGCATAGAGTAGAAGGATCTGAATGGATGAAATCTGTTTTGTGTTTTTCTTTTAGATATTTTTTACAAAACAACAAGGTCATATTCAGAACAGATGGTCCTCAGATCTACTGGTCCACGGATCCTGTATGGCGGACCCTACATGAAAGGAAGACAGCCTAATCCTTAAATGGTCTCCTAGCCTCCCAATCGATTAAATTTAGGCTTCGAGGTTTAATCGCTACACCCATCTAGGGGGAATGGGGTGGAGGCAGGGAGACCATAAAGGGATTAGGCGGTCTTGCTTTTATGCAGGGTCCGTCATATTTGATCTGTCGACCAGAAGAATAAAATGGATCCATGACCCTTTGTTATATGACGTATGATAGCAATCAGTATTTGTATAGTGTGCATGTGTGGGTGTGCATCTGCCATATCACTATCAGTCAATAACATTGAATTTCTTGATTTTACTTTTAGCATCCCATTAGTCGCTGGATGGTGAAATACATGTTTAACCCACCAGAGAAAGTATATGAAAGAAGCTTAAGTGTTATATATTGGACTTTGAAGCGGGATCGTGAACGGTAAAGATTAGCATTTACTTATTCTTATTGTGGCCCAGCGGGTTATTTGTTCAGTATTGAAAAACTCCCAATTTCATGCAGCTCAGTTGAAAAGAGGAGTTGGGTTATTTCACTGTCATAGCGCAATGCAACTTTGTCACAATTTTTTCAAAATGCATTGTGAAATGTCTCCAATACCTTGGCGTTTCCTCTTTTGCTACCTCAGCTTCTGGTCAATAGGTCCAATTTCATGGGTGTGTCAGCCATTGTATTTTTTGATAATTGTATTCCCCTGCGAAAATTTGCCTCATTTAACGTTCACTTACGATTCTTAATCTATTCTAGAAATTTGGTGTGTTTTTTTAACATTTCTAATGTTGTTCTGTAATGAATGTAACAGTTTTGGGAGGTCCTTCAGAATGTCCTAGAACAGATTAAGAACATTTTTCATTAAAAGAGAAAAGCATAATGTTCTAAGACAGATTGAGAACTGTAAGTGAACATTCAATGAGACAAATTTTCACAGGGGGGGGGTATTATCCCTATTGTGTGCACAAACCAGTTGGTGGTACATACCCAGGAGGCAGTATAACCTCTCTGACTCACTGCTTACTTTTTTTTTTTTTCTCTCTTCCAGTCAGCTACGTAAATTAGTCAAGTACTACCAGGGGACAAGAGGAGATCAGAAGGGATGGTACTTCATAGATGCAGGATTATCTCAGAGAATACCATGGGGCAGAGAGCAGTATGAATACACACTTGATAACTTTTATTAATTCAAAGGACTACTGTTTGTTTCTCAATTAAAATTCAGAGGTTGGAGGGAACTTGTAGGTGGGGAGAGATGGGATATTTCTCAGCTCTAGGAGAATGTAAATTAATTTTTGCTTTTGGCATAAAGAACATTTTTTCTTTTTTTGGGGGGGGGGGGGGAGGGAAGGGGGGATTCAAAATTGATGGAAAAGTCTTATTCCTATTCTTTTTTATTCTGCCTCGATGTGACAGAGAATCTTCAGAGAACAGTAAATCAATCAGTTATGTTGTTTTTAAGGTTAACTCCCCTTCATCTACTTCCGAATTCTGTTCGGAGGGTCTCAAACAGACAACACTCAATGTTTATTCCTCCGTTTGATGATTATATAATTAACTTTGCATCAGTGTGCTGGTACTAGTAACCCTGTACAAGACCATCTGTGTATAATAGAATTGAAAAGTTAAGCAAAAGTTAATATAATACTTGTTTGCCTTATGAAGCAGCCTAGGAGAAAGAAAACTGGTTGTTGTTAACTTTATGGCCACAAAAAGACAATAGGATTTTGTGTTGTACCGCAAGATCTCTGCAGAACTTTTTTTTGTTTGGTTGATACATGAAGCAAGAGTTTCCTCTGACAGAAGGGTTGTCAATGATAAGAAAATATGAAAATGAGTTTGATTTGGCTGAAATTTTTGAAAACTTCAATACGTCTTTCAGTTTGTACTCACTGTTTCTAGTGTGGTCTGTGTTCTGCTTTTGATTTATCTTCACAATTTTGTATTCCGTAATATCAGAAGAAAAATGAGATTTTTTTAAAAGAAATGAAAGTCTTGTGTTATATTTTTTTTCCTTATGAAATCAATGCATTTATTCAGGGGAATGAATTCTTAAGAAATATGAATTGATAATTGATAATTAATTTTCATAGTTACAACCATTAAGATATTTAATTACAAATCCATTTAATGCAGTTCAAATATCACTGTTATCACTTGACAACATAATTTTCCTTTTGGACACGTATATATATCTATCAAAAAACGACAAAAGTTGCAACTAATAGCAAACATACTATGTATCAGAATTTGCACATGCCTTATCTGTTACTGTTTATAATATATAATTTTTTTTCGGTTTACAGTCTTCAATGGTACCTAACAAACCATTTAAGTTATAATAGCCTTGACATCAGTTGAAATTTCTCGCCCACCGATACTACTGTAGGCTAAGAGTGGAAAAAACTCGTCATCTTAAGATGCTGACAACATCCGTCTACATTCAGAGTAACCCCAGTTGCACCAGTCTTTAGTTTTGAACTGTAAAACTGGGTTTCCATAAACCTGATATACTAGTTGGATTGATCTAACTTTGAGGGGATTCCTGCTAAATTGCATTCAGTTTAAGTGGCTTAAATATCTGTCACGCCCGGTGAAGCTGCTAGGGGGGTAATTAACTTTTGTGCACACTTAACTGAATGCAATTTAGTGCGAATCCCCTAGGCGATAGATTGATCATGCTAGTACAGTTTTGGTAATGGTTCCTAAGAAATACAAAGTTGTATGGAAGTGAAAAAGAAAGTTGAAATTGGCATCTCCAATAATTTTTTTATGTTCACTACTGGCAGTAGTTTTGATGTCACTTTCGGATAGTTTTGGGTTTTATGGAGACATTTAAAGAATAAATGCGAGAAAATGATGCTATGGCCCTTTAAGCAGGGTTCTGGGGCTGTTTTTGGGTAGAAAATTGCCAACAGAAAATGTTATCAGATTTCAATTTTAAATTGAAAAAAAAAAAACATTTTGCGTACATTTTTTTGTTGCATGTGCAGCAGTGTCTTGTGGGAACTCAAAGGACCTACAGTAATACACTGGTACCTTTTACATAATGCTGTCACAGTCCCAGTGACATATTTGTGAACAATGTGTTAAAAACCCACCTTTTGGAAAGAAACCAGAACGTCACTTGGGGTTACTCTGAGTGGATGTGCTGCTGAAATACTTTTTTGTAAAAAAAACTATTTGTAGGTAAAGGATGAATGTTTAAGTCTCACACTCTCACTACTTCATATCTTACTTGGTCATAATGAGAAGTACCTACCAATCTGACAGACCACAATGTGTTCATTCTCAAGTGAAAAAAATGTAACCGTTTGTCTATTAATACCAATATACAAGATGTCGTTCTTTGGGAACAAGAATATTTTTAAGATGACTTAAAAATCTGATATATTTGGGGCTAAAATTCCTTTTTACTTTCACAGTTAAACTATACAAAATTATAAATAAAATTATTTGTATTAACCACAGTCCAATCAATAAATCGAGTCACGAACAACAAATTTTCAATTGTACTCCGATACATATATATATATATATATATATATATATATATATATATATATATATATATATACTCAACCTCAAAATTACATGAAAAATTTTTGAAGTGTTCAGATAACTTTTATCATTCTGACTGACAACAGATACAATGCAGTATAGTAAAAAAGAGCATAAGTTAAAATTAATAAAAATTAAATTCAAATACTTTCCTGGCTTTTAAAGATAATTAAACTAAAGCTCTTACAGTAACTTTGAGAGAATATAATAAGCTGATCAGTTTCATAATTATAACAGAACATGCACCATTAATAGTTAATATGTCTAATAACACCAGAAGCAAAATGCGTGTTACCAAACAAAAACTGAGGTAACGACCAGCCAGTATTTTTTAAATTCAAACTGGTACATTTTATATGTTATACTTCTTATACACTGATTTTTTTTTCAAAACAATGAAATGGGCAGTTCAGGAAAGTATTGGACATATTACTAATTTGAAACTTGTAAATACGCCGAATTAAAATTATTCTCTGCGACCAATTAACACTATCAACAACATGACCCACTTCATATGTGTAAGAAAAATATACAACTATACATAATAAACAGCTATTTGCTTCATCACTTTCAAAGACCTATCAATCCAAGCAAAAGAGCTTCAAGAATATCTTACATCATCTTATATCTATGTAAACACTAATGACATACTACATCCGCCTTTAAATATATTTCTTTCCAGCTTGTAGAAATTAATGTACATCTTCTAGAGCATGACATACCACAATAAACTGGTTAAAATATTTAAAATTATGGTTAATTATTGTAAACAAGAATTTTGAACTTAAACGCCAACATACCAATTAGCCACCTATAAAATGTTTGGTTAGCAATTCATGAACTCTTGCTAACAGTCTAGCCGAGTCAGACTTAAAAATGATGGAATGCAGTTTGCAGAGTGGGCTACTGAGAATTTCCCACTAGACAGAGACTACAAGATATTGGTCTTAGAATTTGGTAGTCTGGTGATGTCATTTAGCCCCAAACCAGTTCTGGTTTTTCTCTGTGTCAGAATTCACTCTCACTTACATCAAATAATTTAAGCATGCACGACTACAGCAAAATGGTGTACACTGATCACTCTAGAAAAGGATTGTAAAACGCCATAAGAGAAACTCCTTGTAAACCCATACTGTAGTTATGAGACTTCAGGCAACCTTTCTGAATAATATACATGTTTTCTGTTCCTCCGACTTATGAAGATCCTGATCTCATTGCATGGAAAGAGACACTCACTTTGTTACAGAATAACTCCATGACATGTAGACTTAGAAAAGAATACGTTTCCTCTGATTTAAAATGACACCAGAAATTAAATTCTACTGGAAACTTTGTTGTTTGGAAAAAAAAAAAAAAAAAAAAAGCTGTGACAAGAATGTAAATGCCAAACATCCAGCACGTTCACAAACCTGACAAAACAAATAGTTTTCAGTTTATATTTCCTTGAAAAAACATCTTACTGAATATGGTTTGTGTCAAAAAATAAAAAGCCATCTCTGCAGAAAAAAAATCAGAAACACTTGTGTACAACAATTAAAAAAAAAAAACTTTTAAAAAACAAAAACTAAGCAGGACCGTAAGCAGATAGGCAGTAGAGACAAATTTCAAGTAATTTTTTCCTGGGTGTCATAAACCTTGTATCTAAAAATTAAAGCCCATCTCATACCTTAGATCACAAATCACGGCTTTTATAGTAGTTAACTTCAGTTTCAACCTTAAGCTCATTTATTGTAAAACAAGTCCCAGGAGTTTTCACAAGTTGGACCAAAAACCTCACCAATATCTAAATAACCTATTTTTTTTTCAGAACAGTTGTCTCCCCTATGACAATATCTACCAAGATCTAAGTCACATGTGTGTCATGTTAATGAGAAAATAAAGTCTTTGTCTTTATTATCATAGTGTATTCTTGCTGGGTGGGGTAGGGTTATACGTAGAATATCCGGACTTTGGATGTGCTGACTAACAGATCTCCGTCATAGAAATAGGTCTCTATCATGACATTTCCACTGAAAATAGACAAAATGTAAATAATAAGGCTATAAAAATCTTAAAAAGTTTGGCACCATTAAAATGATGATGATGATGTGTATATGAGAGAGAAAAAGCAGAGTCTAAAGAGTACAGAATATGTTCCTGCTATCTTTGTATGCCCAAAAATTAAAAGTTAAAACATACGTGCATGCAAGCACATGTGTTACATGTATCGATAAACATTACTTGACTTAGCCTGCTCTGATATTGTGCATCTTAGGGACCATTCCCACAAATATTTGGATCGATCTATCTCCCTGGGGAGTCTCACTAAATTGTTATCAACGTAACTGGCTTAAATGTCTGTCACGCCTAGTAAAGCTGTGAGGGGGTAATTATCTTTACCCCTAGCTGATTCGGTAGGTGTGGCAGACATTGTAGCCTCTTGAGCTGATAGCAATATAGCGTGAACCCTCAGGGAGTTAGGTCGATCCAGATGGATCGATCTAAGTGTGGGAACCCAGTCTTAGTGTATGTCTGGGTACAAATACACACTAACTTTGATTTGAATTAGCGCAATGAGCAGGCAACATGTAGTTATATGTTTCACTTTCTAAAAAAAACAAATGTGTCTTAAGGTGACTTCACAAATTGTGCGCATTTTTGTGCTTGTATGAAATTGCACTCACGTGCATGATTGAAAGTTCACACACATGCATGCTGCTGCATGCTCAAGACTGAAAGTGAACTCACTGGTACATGTACACGTGTCATGAAGTGCATTCACTCGTGTGTATGCGTGTATGTATGCATGTGTGTGTGCACATACAATTCCTTTGCAAGCTTGAAAGTGCATGTACTGTATGCGCTGTGTGCATGTCATTGTGCATATATATCTGAAAATGCACACATGCATGCTCTTAAGCACTTACTTTAACACATTAGCAGGCATCATCTGGCTCTCTGGGGCGGCCTCTATGATGGACTGCCAAGTGTTCGTGGACCCAGGGATAACAAAACCAAACTCAAAGTACCATTCTGGAATATTGGAAAGTATATTATCATATATATGTGTTTAAAGGAATACATATCAAACATGTCCCATATACACTCTCACCCATATATCTACAACTTCAGCTTAATATCTAATTCCTAAAGGGATGACAACTCTTCGTTTTGGTGTGAAAAGTGCCACTAAATGGATTTTTCTGGGGTAAACAACAATTTTCAAACACTTTCCAATGGTTAATGAATCTATTCAAACATTCAAAGTTAGTTTTAATTGTAGTTTTTGCTATAATCTTTTAGGAGATTATTACGGAAGGCAGCCCTCTATGAAAGTCCAGGTGGTTCAATGGCAAGCACATATTCCAGAATAACTGAGATGACCACCTTTTTGATGGTAAAACGAAATTTATTATATTCCTGTGTGTTGTTTACAACATTTTTATTGTGGATTTTTTTCAAATTTCATATGAAGAGTTGTTCTCAATTTAAATACAGGTCTAAAAACACCACTTATCTTTTTATATATACACAATGCCCCTACCTTCTAGACATCTATTTTTAAACATGACTTTCTGTTCTAATCGAAACTTCTCCATGGCTTCTGTGGAGGAGAAATTCAGCTCTCTGGAGACGGCTTTGCACTTCAGGATTTTCTTTGGCACTCGAGCTGAAAGGACATTTTATTTAATTCATGAATAATAATTATGCCTTCATTTTTCTTTCTTTGACTTGACAAACCAGTCCTGCTTTTTATTTCTAAAAAATCACTTCTATATTTAAGATTTGGCAAATAAATTCCTGAGATATTCATTAATACACATGTATATGCCTTACACAAATTTGTTTTATTTCATTTATCTTAATCTTTTCTTTCTTTTTTGTTCTTTCATTTTTTGTAGATGGGACATTGCACAGTGTTTCTTTTCTCTGTAAAATGCTTCCTCCTAAATTATTATTATTTTTTGCCTAATTGAAATGAGAGGCAATTCTAACTTCCTTCTTGTTATTGTAAAAACAATCATGAAGGGGAAACAGGTGGTATTGGGGTAGAAGGGGGATGTAAATCAAAAGGCTTGCTAGTGCCTAGGATAAATTCAATAAGTACAACCAACCAGCAGAAGAGTTGAGATGATCTCTTACCTTCATGTTCTTTCTCTGGCATTGATCTGAAAGTAAAAAAGTATTAATCACAAAAACATACTGAACATAAAATTTGTTTTGGTTTAATGTATTAAATAAATATGAGGAGAAAATCAAACATAGAATACAAACAGGCATGCAGGGGNTTGAATACAAACAGGCATGCAAGGGTTGGAAGGTTGGTGGTAGCAATGGTTATAAAGAACTGTACCTCTGGTAGGAAAACAACTGTTCAAAATTTAAAATGTATCAAGGGTTTGGGCTGAGTAGGTCTCTATATTTTCTGTTGAATGTAGACAATGTATGTAATGAGGCTATAAAAACCTCATACAGTATGGCATGTGTGTGTGTGCGTTTGAGAGAGAGAGAGTGAGTGTGAGAGAAGTTGATATAAAACTAATAATTTCTATTTGTAACTGCTACTTACAGATCATCACTGCTCTGCCATAGTATTTTTCCACTCTCTGCATCTCGGAGATTCATCCAATTTCTGAGCAACTCATTAAGGGATAATTCAAAACAAAAGTGGAAATTCTAGGCAAAACAATCATGTGTGTGACATATAAAATGTGGTCTCTCCGCCTCTCACACGCCTCCCCACGCATCATCCCTGCAGGGACACATAAGCCGTATTCAGAATAGGGGACTAACTAGTCCGAGGGTCAAATATGGCCGACCCACTTGAATACTTCCCCACGGGATATCTATTCAGTGTCTATTGGCGGATTAGACGGCAAGCTATTTAGTGGGTCGTCATATTTGACCCGGGGACTAGTTAGTCCACTGTTCTGAATGCGGCCTTACAGTAATTAAATCACAGCTCAATTTGACTGGTCCAGGGATGACGTGTGGGGAGGCGTGTAAGAAGAGGAGAGGTCTTTACAGGATTAAACAGTCTTCCTTTTATGCAGGTCAGACTGGTCTGCCATATTTAGGCCGTGGACCAGCTAGCACTCGGCTCTTCTCATTCTGAATGGCCTCATAAACTAGTGTACAACCATTAGGAAAATACTAGTACAGTAGGCTTTTTCAATCAAAACAATATTTAATTATTTTAGCACAAGTTTATTGGCAGTCATTTTCAGTATGGCATGATTAACATATTTATTTTTTTTTCTTATTTCCCCTCCACCTTCACAACAAGCTTGAGCAACATGTAAATGCCAATCAATAAACCTACTGTTGCATCAAATGCTTATCTCCTTTTACACTTCTCCTCTAAATCCGATCAATACGAATAAGAATTTGTTCCTTATACAGCAGCTGATATCAATATGAAAAGAGATTCCACAAGTACTTCAAGGCAAGGGTGAGAATTGATTAGAGGATGCTAATATACTTGTACATGTATACTGTTCACACCCTAGCTATGCTGTACTTAAAATGTATGGCCCACACTGACTATGTCACGTGAATCAAGTATCTGAGGAAACTGACAAGTAGATGTGGCACTGAACTAGAATAAAAACATGCATTTCCCCAAATTTAATAAGGCATCTGGAAAAGTATTGGGTTGTTTCAGAAAAATTTCCCATTATCTATCAATTCTGTCTTCTGTCTAGTAAATTTTGATGACTAGAGCTAGTATTTAAGTTTTCTGAGGTCTTCTAAGTACCAAGCAATATCCATTATTTAAAGATTTCAGCTGTGCACTGGTTGATTCTAATTTATACTTTTACGATCCATTTTTTAAGACTCCTGAGCTTGGATAATAAAGATGAACTAGTAGACTGCTCCCATCTTATTGTCATCTCACCCTTCTTATTTTACTTTTACGTTTTACTTTTGGTTAAAACCAAATACCTTAAGGAAATTTAACACTAAATATCCCTCTAGCTCCCAACTGGCTTAAAATAATCATGGACATACTCCCCTGTCCTAAAACCATTATGACAGTAACGCAACTTTCATATTTGATGACGAAATGTATAGAATTTTAGAACCAAAATTATAAACAGTGAATGAGTTTGCAAAAATATAACAGTATTTGAACCTTTAAGGTCAATTTGTGTGACATCGTGAACAGCAACTTGATCCACCTGGCTGACAAAAGGACACCAGGCATTGAGAAATAACACGATACAACTCATGGGAAATGGTGAGTAATGGAAATTCAGCAATATTTCATGGCACAGCCAACGACAACTTTAAATTATTCAACTTATGACAGAAAGGATGGCATAATAACATAAGATATCTGCTCTACATTTATTTTGAATAAAAGAGAAAAAACATCAGTATAACAGATTTTCTCTGCTTTTAATATATAGTGCACGAACTGCACATCTCACTCTCTGTTAATGATGCACACCTAACATTATAAAGAATAAGCCAAAGTTGGCAAAGAGTTTCGCCAATGTTCTCACCAGTGGTGCAAAAACGCACTAACATTTTTGCTTATTTGTTGACTGCTTACACTGCATTCTGGAACTTTTTTCAAAGTAAACATACCCATAATACGTCAAACCGGCCGATTTATTACATTCTTACATTACGATTTTTACAGGCACTTCAATCTTCATGTTCATGTTCGACACAATTACCATTCAACATTTAATCGCCCAACTTACCTAAATGAAACAACAGGACGAATTCAAGCTTGTTTATAGGATAAACTATATAACTTTACACGGCATTTAAGCTCAGAATCACTTCAACTTGAAATGGCCAAAGTAAAACCACAAAAACGGCTTCGGCATTTGCACCTAGCAACTACTGATGCCTATAAAATTGCGCATGTGAGTGCGTCATCAAAGGATACAATTTAAAACCTTTCAGTATATCTTCTGCTCTTGATGGCATTTTCCTTTTTTGTCAAAAGACTGTGCCTTTCTTCAAATCAGACGTTAATTACCTTATTTAAAATTCTTTTCCTGGTGCTTGGAGCTCTGTCAACATTCAATATGGCCGACATCCGTGACGTCAGAGTCGTAAAAAATATGGTATTTGTCAAACAGCTTGCACAGTTTAAAAATCAAGAAAACAATTGACCGAATAATAATTTTGCAAAAAAGTCCATTTATTAATATTTCATCCCTAAATCTTTAAACATATCACTAATTAAATTATTCGGCAGTTTTCGCTACATCTCGTTTCGTAGACAAATGGCTGTAGCGAAGAGTCATACCATGTCAGGCCTGAAGGGTCACTGCATGCCAATTTAAAACTAGGTGTCATCTCAGGCCAGATGTAATGCGAAATACTTTCGAGTAATTCGTGTAAAAGCAACTTTTTATAGTGCTTTATTGAGCATTAACATGTTTATATATACACTCTAAAGGTTATCTTTATGTAATTTGCTTATACGAAGTCCAAACTCATAGCTCACCAGCTGGAAAAAGACGATTTAGATTGCAGTAGTTGTGACAATCAAAATGTTGTCGCAACCGAGTGCGGTGCTTGTACCGGAAGTGGAAATTTCACAACCAGATGACAACATGGAAGCATGCATCTCAGTGATCACGGAACATTTTCCTTTGATTGAGGGAGAACTGCTTCAGTATGTGACTAGTAAGTACACTTCGTTTCCAGTCTTTAATATAAGGCCAATCTTTAGTTAGAATATTAAGAATTACGTATTTAAATAGAAGAGGAGGCTGCAAATCTCCCAAATAGTTCAACGACAATATGAAATCATGTCGGTGAAGGTGAAATGTTAAAAGTTCAACGTTAAGCGTACTTTTTAAAAGTAGACTTCTATTGGAGTAACGTTGTTGTTGAATGTTTCGATTCACCCAGTTGTTTTATACTGAGATAATGCTGGAAATAAAATTGACTCTTATACTTGATATTAATTTAATTTCTATTATTATCTCAGTACACTCGAATACCAGTTGTGTCTAAGTTCTGAAACTAATTAATAGATGTTATCTGAAGCTTATAAACATTTTTACATATTGCACACATTATGGACAAATTGCCGTAAATTATATAAGATTCATTTCCCCTCTTTTCACACAATTTTTCCTGTTCTTACTTAATCATAATTGGATTAAAACATTTCTGTAAAAAAAAAAAAAATTATTTTAACGTGAAATTCAAGTACGTGGTGGTATGCCTTCTACTGACTTCATACTTTATCATTACTACATTCCAGGTGTATTAGAAGGCAGCCAGGCTGACTTTGAGAGCAATGAGGATGTCTATGAAGCAGTGGGACCTGTGCTCTCAGAGGTGGACCAGGACAAATCAGAGGATGAAGTTCAAGACATATGTGACAAGTTATTCCATATGCTAAAAGGGTGAGAGGAGAGGAGTGGAACTTATTTGAATCATTTAAAAGTTTTTAGTTATTGTCGCAACTAGATGTCACATATTTACATAGCGAATAAGAACTTTTAGCTGTTGGCATTCTGTATAATGTGGAAACGGACATCTAATTTATTACAATAAATGATTTGTAAATGAAAGTGCTTTGTCATATCCAATTCCATTGAGAAAAACATTTTAATTTTTTTTTTGTTCTTCTTAACATTATAATATTCTGTCAATTTTCCAATTATGCACTGGTGAGGGAATTACTTGTATATAACACTGTTATTTAATGTATGTCACTTAATTTCTCAGAGATGAAGATGAAAAAGACAGTAGAAAGAATGGACCACATAGAATATTAGATGCCCCAGTGCATCTTGGGAAGCTCGTAGAAGATTCAGCAGATAAAGATATACAAGAAGCAAATATATGGATAGCGAAAAAAGCTGATTCTACGGTAAGATTGGTGCCATGTTTATTTATTGTTTGTAAACAACTTGGTCGTAATTGTTATTTTCTGAAACATTAAAAAAGAGTTACTGTGATATTTAAAGTAATTTAATGTGTACACATTTTTTTTAGCAATTACGTATATAATCAGCTTATGGAAGTTTATCTTAAAACTTGTAGTATTTTTTTAGTAAAAATTATCGATTTGAATGAAGTGAAGTGTCACCAAAACAAATATGAGTTGTTAACATTTATTTTGCATATCTCATGGCCAGATGTTTTTGTAGTGGTGACTGATTTTCCTCAATCATGAACTAGATAACATTTTTCTTTCATTCTTCCAGATTGTAGATCAGAAAAAGCTAGAGAAAGCTGAAGCAAAATTGAAGCAGAAACAAGAGAAACGTTCTGACCAGGAATCTGTTCCCAGGGTGATCTCAAGCGAGTAAGTCTGAGGGCTCATTCCCAATAAAGCTGTCAATCTAGGTAGATCAATCCAACTCTGCAGGGACTGTCACTGAATGCTGTCATATCAATAGATAAACACCCCTCCACTTGTTTTCAATGTACTTGTATAATCACCAGCTTTTCTGTATTCTACTCGATGCTGGGAAAAGGGGTGCTAATCTGTTAATCTGGCCCCAGTTTCACAAAAAAAAAAAAAAAAAAAAAACTAAACTAAGTTCCCTGGCTTAGCTGACTAGGATTTCCATGAGAGTGCTGTAACACTGCACCTGATAGGGTGAGATGTGACCATGTAACCTTGGTAATTAAGTTCTTGACCTGACTTTTTTTTTTTTTTTTTTTTTGAAANAAGTTCCCTGGCTTAGCTGACTAGGATTTCCATGAGAGTGCTGTAACACTGCACCTGATAGGGTGAGATGTGACCATGTAACCTTGGTAATTAAGTTCTTGACCTGACTTTTTTTTTTTTTTTTTTTTTGAAACTGGGACCTGATTGTGTTCAACAACAATTCCCAAAAGTTGGATTGAGCCAGGTAGAACAATAGTTTCATTGGGAGTGTGCCTTCCATAACATGTACCATGCATATTTCCATCACATAGAGTGAGACCACTGTGCCAGTGTGTATTTTAACACCTCTTTGCTCTTCATCTTTTACTTGAACTAAGACAAATGAAAAAGGGTTCCAGTGTTTGGAAACAAACCATGGGTGAGAGTTTTCAGGATTATACCTGATTTTAAGGTTTTCAAACTTCATTTTGATCCTTTTTTTTTCACATGGTCTAAATGCTATGAAAAATTGCAAGGTACTTTTCAGGGTTTTCAGATTTAACAACTTCATAAAGTAGTAGTGCTAAGAATGGTTGTATATTTTACCATCTTATTAATTCAAATTTTTTTCGTAGTGATTTGCTGCAGGCGGCCAGTGCTAGTCAACAGACCAACCGCAAAGATGTGAAATTTGATTCATCTGGTGCTAATAGAAGCTATGACATCAGGATTGACAACTTTGATATATCCTACGGTAGCCTGTAAGTAAGAGTTGACACATTGTCAAAGAAATGCCTGTACTTTGAAAAATAATATTAAATACAGCATTAGAAATTTTGATAAATGATTACGTGTTATAACCATTATCAATTTTTGCACAATATTATGCATTATGTGTGTCTTTGAAATGTAAGTTTTTTTAATTGTATTCCTGACCCTGGTAAAGCAATAACGACTTGTGACAGAACATTATACGATAAACAGTTGTATTTAAGTTCAGTTCATGTTTAATCTCAGGATTAGTAACTGGATGTGCTGTTTTGTTTGGGGTTTTCAAAATGTCCGTTCTCTTCCCAGAGTTCTCATAAAAGGTGCCTCCATCAACATGGCGTTTGGCCGCAGGTATGGCCTCGTAGGCAAGAATGGAAAGGGAAAGACCACATTGCTACGAATGATAGCCAGGTATGCTTCCTCTAAGGGTGCTGGATGGGCTTTTTTTTTTTTTGGGGGGGGGGGGAGACAGGTTTCCAATAATGGTGGATTTCCTGTTTAAATTAAAGGTAAAATTATCAATGCAGAGATATGATTGAATTGATGTTACAATATGGGGTACAGCAGTTTGCCTAAGTTTCTGTTTTTAAGTGGGCGGGGATAAGACATCTTTTGAGCCATTACTTTTTTGGTGATGAACTCTTTGTAGCCACACATATTGATAGCACAGCCTTATTTTAATGTTTAGTATTTTTAGTCAGTTTTGTTACATTATTCAAGCTCTACTGGTGTGGTTCAGAGATCCATTAATTTGAATATCACATGCAAGACATGGGGATAGAAAACCTTCAAATTGGTCGTGCAGGGCTCAGTTGGTTTTGTCCAATGTATTGTCACAGACTTTATTGCACAAGCCTTTAGAGAACTATTTTGCACCTGGTTTTTGTTTTAGTCGTCAGCTCAAGATTGCGTCTCACATCACAATCCTCCATGTTGAACAGGAAGTTGTGGGTGATGACACGATCGCTGTGGATAGCGTACTTCAGTCAGATGAGAAAAGAGAAAGTCTACTACGAGAAGAGAGAGAAATCACTGCCAAGATAAATTCAACTAGGTAATACTTAAGTTTGATTAACTCATTGTATATAATCGTTATCATGACCAGTTCTTTTTTCTTCAAATGGTTTAAATTTGACTGAAACAAGTCAAATCAACTGTATTTTGTTCAGCCAATTTAAGTCAGTTTTAGCATTTGGCTAAATTGGCGAGTGATAGCGCTACCCCAGCTAACTGACCTAGCTCAAGCTGACTGAAATATGTATCATGCGTATATTTGTCTGAGTTTGAATTTAACTGGATGAATTTGATAATTTTCATTAAAATTTGCTATAAGTTATTTATCAGGTGAAACAGGCAAATTCATTAAGGAGACCACTGGAACTTTGCCATCTATGAAAGTAGAATATGTGGTAAAATCGAGATAGTAAGAAAATAAAAATAAAAAAATTACTTTTGCTCATTAGTCCAAACAGTACAGAGGATGGTCTAAGCACACGGCTGACAGAAGTCTATGCCCAGTTGGAGGCTATGGAGGCAGAAAAGGCCCCAGCCAGAGCAGCCATGATTTTGTCAGGTTTGGGGTTCACCCCACAAATGCAAAGGAGTACCACAAAGTAAGTAAAAAGTGTGAAAGGGAGGGATATTTTTAATTTTTATATGAACAGTGGATTTTTTAACTCTGCATTTTTAAGTTGTTGAATAAGTGTCTGCTTTTAGAGGGCGAATGAATATTTAAAAATTACTTGAAAATGGCTTTTTTTTTTGGGGGGGGGGGGGGGTAAGGGGGGGGGGCAGACCTTTATTTCAGCTTTTTATTAGATAGTGGGACAGGCACTCTACAAAGAGTAAGATGTTGGATGTAAGGGAAATGCAAAAGTAAGATTTTTTTTCATACCTTCACATNGGGGGGGGGGCAGACCTTTATTTCAGCTTTTTATTAGATAGTGGGACAGGCACTCTACAAAGAGTAAGATGTTGGATGTAAGGGAAATGCAAAAGTAAGATTTTTTTTCATACCTTCACATTTCAAATTATGTTATGGATGTAAATAAAGTAACCATTAAGAATGATAAATTTGAAAGAGGAAGGTCATCTAAAATTATCTTTTCATATTTATCATGGTTCTTGTATTTAATGCCATTATTCAAAGATTTAGATAAGGTATCATGACTGTTTTAATGTATCAAGTAACATTCCCATGAAAAAGAGCATTATCTAATACAAACTTTTAAAAAACTATTTCCAGAGAATTTTCTGGTGGTTGGAGAATGAGGTTGGCCCTAGCCAGGGCGCTGTTTGCCAAGTAAGTTTTCCTGTAAATCTTACCAATTGGAATCACTCACATGCTTGTATATGTATTTTGAATTTTCTTCTTGTTTAAAGTCAGAAAAGTTAAATATGTCAGCTGGTTTTGGACCAAGATGTGATGTATGTGGCACCACCGTGTGGCAGCACTTTTTTAGGATTTGTCATAAGTTAATTTGTGTAAAAGAAACTGACTTTCATTTAAGTTTGATTACTGCGTAATGTTTATTTAATGTTTTTTCTTTTCAGGCCAGATCTGCTTTTACTTGATGGTAGGTTTTGAAAATTTGATATAATTCCCAAAACATAGATAAAAGTTTTAGATTCAAAAAAGGTTAAAAAGCAAGCAGAAAACATTTTGAAGATAAAAAATTTCAATTGACGATATGTTTTATATTTTTTTATCAGAGGCAATAAGGACTGAAAATATTGATGATTTAAAATCTTTTAAAGTTTATTTTTTGTTGCTATTATAGGATGCCATACTGCAGTTATAACTGTTTTCTCTTTGGATTTCAGAACCCACTAACATGTTGGACATGAAGGCAATTATTTGGCTTGAAAATTATCTACAGGTGAGAATATTTCCCATAAGATTGTTCATGGTTCCAAGATTATTTTTATTTAGTGACATATTAGTAGTGATGATTACTTACTTTGGAATAGAAAATAATTATAAAACAGTTATGTTTCACTTTTGCAATGGCTGCCAGTTGTAACCTGTATGATAGATATTTTATGTTCCAAATGTGATCTTTATGGCCACTAAGATGTTATTAAATAGGTGAGAAAATGTAAAAGAAAAATCTATAGTTCAAAATAATGTATATTGTTTATTAGCTTAATTTAATACATGACTATAGTATTTCTTTTGAATTTTTGTGAATATTAAGCCTGACAGGTAGACCTTAAATTATTTGGATATAAAAAGTCAGTGCATGAACATTCTGAATTGCTCTTCATATATAAAAACTATTATTTATCTGTTGTTTTATTTTCAGACGTGGCCTACCACGATTTTAGTCGTATCTCATGACAGAGAGTTCCTAAATTCCGTCGCTACAGATATCATGCATCTGTTTTCACAAGAGATAGATTGTTATAAGGGAAACTTTGAGAATTTTGTGAAGACAAGGACGGAAAAGATAAAAAATCAACGCAAAGAGTACGAGGCACAGATGCAGTATAGAGAACATGTACAGGTGAAGTAAAATAAAAGAATTTTTTTTTATTATTTTATTTTGCTGATTTTTTAAGCAAACCTTTGTTGTAGAGTAGCAAAATAGAATATGATTTGTTTTGTTGGATGCACTTAAAAGGCAAGAAAAGCACAAAATTGGAGGTAACTTTTTTGAAAATTGTTAAGCATGCCACAATAATTACCAAAAAAACAAGGGAACGTCAGATTTATTTGAGATATTTGAAATTTATGATATAACTTGTTACATGTATTATAATAATATATACAGTTATGACTTTTGTAAGGTTAATGTTTTAACTAATTGCTTTCCGAATGCCTAATAAAATTCTTGAATGCGATCACTTTCAGGTGTTTATAGACAAATTCCGTTACAATGCCAAGAGGGCCTCTTTAGTACAGAGTAAGATTAAGCTGTTAGAAAAATTGTAAGTAAAGAAAGAATCTTGAAAGAAAATAGATTCTTCAGTCAGTGTTTATGCTCATAGATAATAACTTGAATGAAAAGTTGCATTTTTACCCTCAACTTAGTGATGGTTATTATGCTCATAATAATAGCAATTATTTATACTTCAATATTACTATGATGATGATTTAAATTTTATCTTTTAAAAACATCCTGTTTTATGTGCATCGTACAGTCATCAATGACAATCTTAATACTAAGTTTTGCAGAATTAAATAAAAAGTAAAATCAGACAAAACTAGAGGATCAGAAAAGGGGTGTTGCCTCCTGGCCCTTTACCACCAACTCAGTTGTGTCTTACACTTAGTAATGTAATAATGTAATGTAAATAATGTAATGATCAGTGACATGAGAAGTGGTGCTGTTTAGACCATGTTTTGGAATTAATTATATTTATTAACTTGTATTTTAGACCAGTATTAAAACCAGTTGAAAAAGAGACAGATATAGTCTTTAGGTAAGTTTTATGACACAATGTGTAAGGAATTCTAAAGATATGTGGTTCTCTGATATCATCATTTCTTGATTTTTTAAAGAAAAATTATATGTACTATAAGTTGGATGTTACAAACATGTTTATGTTTACATACTTTCACACAACTGAAAAAAGTTAACAAATTGGAAGTTCATTTTCAGATTCTTTGAGTTTTAAAAAAAATTATATCATTTTGTAAAAGTTCTCAGTAGGTTTTTGTAATTAACTAAAATCAAACATTTTCCAATTTATAAATCAGACTCTATTATAAGTGTCCAACATAGGATTGAAGAAAATGTTTTGAAATCATAAACCTTCAAAAGTAGTGATATCCAGTAAAGTTTTGATAGTATAATTTAATTGGAAAAAAAATTGACATTATATGATAAAAAATAATCTTTTGTTGCAGGTTTCCAGATGTTGAGTCTCTCTCTCCACCCATCCTTCAGCTTGATGAAGTAGATTTCTACTACACTAAAGAAAAAATTATTTTCAAAAATGTTTGCGTGTCCGCAGATATGGAATCCAGGATTTGTGTGGTAAATTTCGATTTTTAAAGCAATATATGTACATTTTTTTTTGGATGGAAGAATGATGTATTTTATTACTTTATCAACACACCCTTTATTGTTATCTCTTTCCTTGTGATATCTGACAGTTCATACCTCTTTCCTTCTTAAATTTTTAATTTTTTGCTTTCTTCACATCCATGATCTTTCTCTACATCCACCACTATTTTCAGGTATTTTGTCTCGTTCTAGATTGACTAAAGAAAGTATTAAATGAAAATAAACCTTACAGAAGGATGGCCATATTTTTAATTGATATTGCATGATGTGATTAGTATATTGTAATCAACTCAAAATCACCCTTTCGCTTTCATAGGTTGGTGAAAATGGTGCAGGTAAAACCACTCTGCTAAAGATTCTATTGGGAGACCTTTCACCTACCAAAGGTTTCCGTCACATTCATCGAAATCTAAAGATTGGCTACTTCAGCCAGCATCATGTAGACCAGCTGGACATGAATCAGTGCTCTGTGGAGGTGCTAGCCAGTAAATATCCTGGTGAGTGACCACTGTCCAAAGTGACCATGGTCCAAAGTGACCACTGTCCAAAGTGACCACTGTCCAAAGTGACCATGGTCCAAAGTGACCACTGTCCAAAGTGACCACTGTCCAAACTCCAAAGTGACCATGGTCCAAAGTGTCCACTGTCCAAAGTGACCATGGTCCAAAGTGACCACTGTCAAAAGTGACCATGGTCTAAATTGAATTTAGTTGCAAAGCTTACATGATGTTTCTAAGTCTCAGTTTCATGTCTTTTCATATCATTACTTTGGAAGTTTTCATAAATTGTTTTAGTAGCATCACGGTCCTAGCCCGAACACAGAATCAAACTGATGATAATTTATTGTTAAATTCATACCACAGTCTTGACTCCATATTTTAGGTATGGGGCAGACTATAACTGTTTAAAAACACTCCCATTTTAAATTTACTTTCACAAGGTGTAATTTTTTGTATAAAACTAAATGTTTTTTGTTCCTGTTTTTTTTTCTAGGTAGAAACACAGAGGAGTATCGACACCAGCTGGGTTCGTTCGGACTGTCAGGTGACCTAGCCATGCAGCCAGTGGTCAGTTTGTCTGGTGGACAGAAAAGTAGGGTGGCCTTTGCCTTGCTGGCCATGGGCAAGTAAGTAGGCAGGGTAGTAGGGCAAAAAGACAAGTATGCATAGCTGTTAGGTTACTTGAATAGACAGGCAGGCAGATCAATGGAGAGAGAGAGAGAGAGAGAGAGAGAGGTGGACATACAGTGAATAAGATGACAGAAAGACAACTATTAAACTGGATGGTTGGATAAAGAAACCAACAGACTATTGGTTTTAATTTTTTTCCTGAAACTGGCAGATCTGAAAATGCTTTTAACCATGGGTCTGATCTTTGTTTAAGTAAACTACAGATGGACATATTTATTTTTTATCAACCAATTAATTAATTTTTTGCAAAGACACACTCAACACATATGCTTACAAAGATTTAAATGAAAAGATAATTGCCTTGGTATTTACTGATATGTTTTGTTCATTTCAGTCCCAATTTTTTCATCCTTGATGAGCCGACCAATCATTTAGATATGGAGACCATTGAAGCTCTAGGAAATGCCATTAATAAATTCAAGGTAAGTGAACATAGCTCTGCAGTGAAACAACCCCAAAAATAAGTCTTATGTGTTTTTGAGCATGTTCATTGCAAGTCATGTAATGTATAGTCACAAACATTTCACTGCATGTGACTTCTATGAAATTTGAGTAATCAAAACACGATGGAGTAAATTCAAGTGTTATATCAGAGTTGATGTGGATGGTGGATATATATACAAGTTTTCACAGATGTCTTCAGTAGCTATTGACTTCTGATTGGTTGTTGGTGAAATCCTTGCTGCAAACGCAAGTGAATTAAATGTATGTAGTTTACTTAGTAATTGTAGGTGTTAAAATGGTTCCATTTTGGAAGCAGCTCCTTTTCTCAAGCCTATAATAAAATAATTAAATTAAACTTTTTTTTCTGCCTTTTTCAGGGTGGGGTTGTCCTAGTATCTCACGACGAACGTCTGATCAGAATGATCTGTAAGGAATTATGGGTATGTGGTAAAGGGACAGTGAAGAGTCTAGAAGGAGGATTTGATGAATATAAGAAGATTGTCGAGGCAGAACTTGCTGCACAACAATAGGGGTCAGCACTAAACATGATGGGATAGACACAGTTCATAATGAATTATCCTTTGTTTCTTCATGTTTTAATCTGGATTTAACTCTAGAGTCACCACACTGAAAATTAGTTGTGAACTTTTTATTGTCAACTGTCCAAATTTTAAAAGGTTCTTCATACATGGAGACTCACAGCAGTTGCATCTTAAGATCATAAATAGAATAATTCCTTTTGCTATTCTATATGAATATTCCTCGTCTATCGATGATGCAACAGAAAGACTTTGTACTTGACTGGGTTACATTTTGCATTAAAATGCAATCTCATAGAACTTGCATTGTTGTCACTATCTGGAACTGTGTTACATTTTATACTGAATGTATTGAAAAGAACTTGTGTCAGTTTTATGATATGTGTATTATTATTATTATTATTTATGTAGAATGGAGATTAAAGATGGAGACGATTCACTGTTTGACTCATCTTGTATTTGAATTGTGCAGTTATTAATTTACTTTCAAAAATGTATTGACTGATATGTTTTAAACAGTCAATAAGATGATAATATGGTGCAGTTTATAAGACTTAGTATATATATACCTGTGCTCAAAACCATGCTAATGTACTATACAAAGTGATATTGGACAACTGGTAACTTTAAATTAATATGTGGGTAAGTTGGCTTTAGGAAACTTCTGAAGCATCGTGGTAAGGGATGAAATTGTCATAAATTCAGAAAACTGGAGGTTATTACTTGAAATGTGAGTCTCTGATGTCAATATGGGATGATGGCCTGTTGCTTTATACATGGGATTGTCACGATAACCTTGGGCACCTGCCAACTAGTGTAATAAATGTCACCAGATGTCAACAGACATATAGGAATAATATAGTTATATAATATATAATACATACTAAACATGAATGTGGCAGTATTAATTAAAGTAACACACTGCCTCTCGGTAACTCCTTGTTTTCCAAGCAATTGTTGTATCTGAAATTTTCATCTATGGTTTGTAGTTCCATAACTAGAAATGCGATATTTCTTTGAAAACCTACCCCAAGAGCAAAGAACTTGTGTGAATCTTTTCCTCATAGATGCAACAAAGCAACAATATATGAAGAAGTCTATGGAAGAGTTCAATGCTACAAGCATGTTTGCAAAGACGGAGAAGAACTTGTGGCCCCTGGAAATTTTATCGATGGTTGTTATACTGAAAAGGATGTGGTCTATAAAAACGGGTGTGAGGCACAGTAAATTCTGCAGTATTATAATAATCAACATCATTGTAATTTTACGTTCGTATTTTTGCCGCGCAGTTATCATGGGACTTTCCTCGCTTGAAGTTTCATCTCTGGACATCCGTAGTAGAGGTGTCGTCTCAGTATTCTGGCCTTGATCAGACTGACCTGATTCTGCGCCATTTGGGTCACTGTGACTTAAATTTGAATTCTCTTCAGTGCCTGAACTCGAATTTAAATCATCTGAGTTGTTTTGGTTTAAATTATCTCTGTCTGGTTCGCTTTGACCCAATTTCTTGCTGTGAAATAGTACATGGGTCATGGCGTGAATTTTTTTTCGTTGTTTGTTAAGGGTATAAACCAGAAGAATGTTCACGACCATCATCGTCACAATTGGTATGGCAAAAACTAGCGTAAGAAAGATGGAAGTATGTGCAATTCTTCCTGCCTCGGTTGCTCCAATGGCGTAAGGCACAACAACAGGGACGGTGGAGTTGGTACAGTGATCCCAGCGTTCAACAGTGCATTGTCTAAAAAACCAGACAGAGTTTACAACAACATCCACAATGACTATAACAAGAAGCTGGAGCTTTGTTCGTCGGACAGAACACCAGATGCGTGCCTTCAGTGGAAACCTCACCACAATGAAACGGTCAATAGCAACAGACGCCACAATCCAATTTGAGGCAGTCAATGCCATCATCCCTAATGGGAATTCATACGGCTCTATGTATGGCCAAGCAGACGCGTATTCCTCCCATGATCCCGTGTAGGGAAAAATGGAACGAAAAACTTGAAACAGCATACAGTGTATCAAGTAAAATGTGTCCGTTACTGAAAGGGCAAGGAGATAGAGGAATGAAGATGATTTTGTCCTTTCCTTCCACAGAACTGCAAACACTAGCATATTCAGTATGATTCCCATGTAAACCATGGTGCCCACTACAACAGTGTCCATGTAGAATGTGTAGGTTTCATAGACTTCATCTCGCGTCTGTGATGAATTGCAGCCAGGTGATATATTTACCATGGCGCCAGAGTCTTCGCCATCTATGGATATATAGAAACATTATTTGAGTGAATTCATTTTACCACTGTTAATCTGTTTACCACTGTTATTTAAGATTCGTGGTTATTTAGGCAGAGGCAGAGCTGTCGTTTTTTGTCTAAAATAATAATGAAGATCACAGTTATTTTGTTTTCACTGCCCCCCCCCCAAAAAAAAAAAAAAAAAAAAAAAAAAAACGACTGGATAAGTTAATTAAAATTAACTGTGACCTGTACCCACCAATTACCTTAATTGTCAAGATCACAACTTTATCACCTTTGGGTCAGAATTGTTATAAATTTAGACTGGTTCCAGGTATCCTATTCCGGATTTTCTTGTCAATTTTGAGAATGATAAATAGCTAATTGCCGGGTATAAGTATAGGAATAAAAAAGGTTGGTACTTTTTCAAAATGTGAATCGTACACATTTAAAATATCTCATCTATATAGGATTACTATTTATGTTGACTTATTTTATTTACTCTTCTGTTTCAGATAGCAATCATTGTCAAGTTGGACCAATAAACGCTTAACGACAAATAGTACAGTGTACTTATTTATGATCGCTATCTGAAACAGAAGAGTAGGTCAGATGCCTTATCATTACCTGAGTTAAAAATTTACTCTAATAACATAAGTTGGTATATTGCCATATGTACCCTGAGTTTTAGAGGTTTAATACTGCCATTTAGTGAAAAAGTCCAGGAAATATGGCGTGGGATCCAGGGCGCTGCCTAGGCCAGTGATATTTTTGGCTCTCAAAAAGTCACATATGTGCCAATAGCCAGAAAAAATCTTATCCCGGTAATCGATGTGCCTCTTCCAGCAAGTGGACACAACAGAGAAATGTTTATAACTTATGTCAGTTTTCAGTATTAATTCCAAAACTCAGAGTTAAACACCACCCGCAGTTTGTAAAAATTCATATATGATATAAATCATGAGAATATCCCTAATAAAGTTAATTTGTTGAAATTTAATCATTTTTCTTTCAAACCTACCTGTAACAGACAGAGCGTAAGACCACATCTTAAAGACGCGGCCTCCTCAGACAAGATCCAACTTGTGATTAAATGTCTTGACCTAGTTATGATTTTACTTCCTTGTGTGTTCTTACAAGTGTTGTGCCCATTGTTAATGGTGTGGAAGTTAAATGTATGCTGAACTTATATGCACGCAATTTATATGAAATCAATACATAAAAAAACAATGAGTAAGCTTTGAAACTGTTTATTGAAGTTAACATCCAATAAACCATGACGGAAAACATTCACTATATAAATCCTAAAATGCAGTTATAATATCTTAACCTGGATTCACTTAACTGTAATGACATTAAATTCTAGAAAAAACATAAACCAGTTTAAAAGCTGTTGGTGTTACTATTAATATCTATTCCAGGATAGGGTATGATTCACTTGTTACTGCTACTGCACATGCCCAATTGAGCAAATGTCAAGTAGGCCTATATATATAGGAAGTATGGATAAGTTCTTATTGTCCTTGGATTTGTTGATAATGGATTTATCTATTATAAATGATCATGTCCATTGGTATATATTTATATATCATAAGTTTTAGTGAATGGCCTAGATAAAAGAAAACTTCTATCATGATGGGCCAAAATATGTGACAAGCAATGAAATTTTGATAACAAAACAAAACTTAATATATGTTATATGACACAAGCACCATTTTTATGAGAGCATCATGTCTATATAGGAGGTCTCAAAAATGTACTCACTCTTTGACTGTCTATTACTATATATCTGACTTTGATTTTGTACCAGTCTAATGAAAATTAAGGAAAATAATACATGTACATGTAGGGAATAATAAAATGAAAAGCATGGAATCAAAGATAACTTTTAATGTCTTCGAAAAGCAAAAATGCACATTTGAAATGGGCAGTCAAAGAGTTAGTACATTTTTTTTGGGGGGAAACCCTGTTTTAAAATAAGGAGTGGAAGGAAGCCCGTATCCAGCAATTTTAGAGGGGGGGGGGGGGTGCTTGTTTTCTAAAAAAAGTGGACCATAAAATCCTCAAGTACATAGATCAAATTTTACCGAGAGTGGACCTTTTCCCAGCAAAAAAAGTGGTTCTTTCGAACCCCCTGACCCCCCCTGGCTACGGGCTTGGGAAGGTAGTACTAATTGACAGTCATTATATTTACTTCCTCAGGATCCAACAATGCACCTTGTAGTTTACTTGTGTATATGATATGCAAACAATTAAATTGTTGAGCTGGTCCAGTAGAGCATTTAAAATCAACTGTATATATGTATATATATAACATAATATAATATAACATAATGAGCAAAGCATACTTTTATGTTTATATGTAAAATGTGCGTGTTACAGACATTCATGCACTACCATTAACCTTCATAACATTGAAAAATATTATACACATAACATTCTGTATACTATTTCATAGATTAGATAAAGAAAACATACATGTAAGTGTAAGACTTGTGGGTGAGATTGTTCTGAATTAAAAAAAGAAAAAAAAAAAAAGACATGAGCTTTTTCAGCTCAAATATACATATTTTCCATGAGTATTACATGATTGAGTTCTGAATTGTACATTGAGGTTGTAAAATTTCCCATATGCCTCACCATTAAAGCATGGTGAAATGTGAGATTAATAATAACAATAATAATAGGATTTAAAAAAAATTAAATGAGAAAATATGTAAAGATAACTTAAAGGGATAATAACTCTTCGTTTTGGCCAAAAAATGAATTTTCCTGGAGTAAACAATTTTTCCATACTTGCCAATGGTTAATGAATCCATTTTTACATTCAAAGTTAGTCCCTGTTTTTTTTTCTAAAAAGTTTGGTTTTTTGTTAAAATCTCTTAAGAGATTATAACTGAGTACAGCCATCAATGGAGGTCACGTGGTCTGAAGACAAGCTCAGATATCAGAATAATAGCTATAACTGCCGTTTTTGTGGTAAAACAGAATATATTATATTTCTATGAGTTGTTCACAATGTTTTTATTGTGAAATATAGATATCATACGAAGAGTTATTATCCCTTTAATTATGAGATGTCAGACACCAACCTTCACACAAATAGGAAAGTGTCTAAAGTAAAAATACCCTTAAAATGATACAATTATTTGAACATAAAGTCATTTCTATAAAATCAATCTAAAACAGCTCAATGATAAACTTTTTCTGTATATTTTCAATTACATCATTCTTGGTTCTACGTAAATTGATTGTTCTGTTCTGGTTGGCAAAATAAGAAAAAAAAAGGACAATACTAAACTTGAACAACAATATATGTCTCATATAAAAGTTGATATTCTATTTAGAGATTTTCTTGGAAAATGCACCTGGTTGACTTGACTTCACAGGTGCTGGAGTATATTGACGAGGCGAGGTAGGATGGGCTGATTGAGAGACACAATAGGTGTGTCATGTGTTGTGCCTTGTTCTGCATCCCACGTTTGCTTACAGAAAAATAAGGGGGGGATTGAAAATGGGGATGGGGTGTTAGGCACATATACTCCTTGTTGAAAATTTCATTTTTTTTTTCTTTTTGCTTACAGACAGTCAAAAAATGATATGTCATCTACTGCATTCCGTAAGCACCAAGTTCATGGAAGTCCTAGCCAACGTGAAACTTCCATTTCTGATCATACCGCAATATTCATGGCATCTGACAGAAAAAAAAACTCATAAACCACAATAAGGGCCACTTTCACTTTCATTTTAAACTGTGACTGTTACTATATATTCAGTTCATATAAATCAATAATGAAGTACAATGAAGTACAATAATGAAATAATTATTTACCTACACAGTAAGTAACTAATAAAGCTGAAGATTGTTCACATCAGTGCTAAATTAGAGCAGACACAACCGCTTCTTTGAACAGGGATTGTTATCATGAAGGTTTCAGTTTTAAACACCCCAGGCTGAGCAAGTTCTCTTAGAACTCATTCCCACAGATTTAGATCAATCCAACTAGATCAACCTAACTCCCTGGGGGTTCATGCTAAATTGCTGTCAGCCGACTGCGCACAAAAGTTATAATTACCCCCTTACAGCTTTTAGTAGGCAGGACAGACATTTAAGCTGGCTAAGCTGACAGTAATCTAGTGAGACTCCCTAAGGGAATAAATCGATCTTAAATCTGTGGGAATGGGGTCTTAAACATAACAGTAAAATCTGCCATCCTTTGGTTTGCCAAGTAAACCGTGGCTGCCCCTTTGACATAGAACTTTACCTGAAACTTTCTCACCTTCAAACTTCACATAATGACAATAACACATGATGCAAGCTGCGACACAAATCAGCAAAATTACCACAATTATCAACTTGTGAAAAATCCGCCATCTCTCATTTTTCAGTATGAAGTCCTTAATCATCTCCAACTGCTGGACCTCATGAGGAAGATGGTTGGTGGCTGCAAAATGGCGACCCTCTAATTCAATACGTCTGGCCTCCATAACTTTACCACGACGATATGCCAGCAGGGAACGTGCAAAATACAGGTAGAGGTTATTTCGTGGGCTTAGCTTATCCTTGTTTTTGAGGAGCTCATTTACGATACCCTCGGCTGCGTGGAGATCCTCCTCGGAGGAGTGCTGGTCGATGCCTTGTTGCGAGAAGCCGAGATGGGTTAGCGCCTTTCTAAGGGCCACTTGACTCTCCAGCGTACTTAAGTCAATCCCTGGGCACTGCTTGCAGGCCTCCAGAGTTTTTCCAAGATGGCGTAAAACGCTGCTCTTCAGGGACACATCATTATTGTCGTGTTTCTGTGAAAGGCGAATGTTGGCTTTAGCATAGTTAATCTCGGCAATGTCCTCGTAGGACTGGGTTGTGGTGAGCAGGCATTCTGCTTGTTCCAGCAGAGCGATGGCGCCCTCTTTGTAGCCTCGGTCATTGTAGATGTAGGCCTTTCTCCAGAATACACGGGCTTGGATCACTGCACTGAGGAAAAAGAGGAAAATGTCAGTTTTAGTGCATTTTATATAAGTGAACAGTTATGTACCCACTTCACTTTTAAAATAGAAGGATCAAACAAGCACTTAAAAAATGAAACGGCTATTATTTGACATCTTCAAGTAGCATTTGAGATAAATTATTTTAAACTTATTAGTTCATGTATTAGGAGGTCTGGAAAGAAAAAGGAAAGATGTTGTTTATGGAGAAAATCTTTATCAGATCTAAGTTATAAGGAGAGACCAGCCTTTCCCCCTTGGACTTTCTCTGCTAACTCTTCATCTCCCCTTCTACCCTACCTTTATCTTTTCACACACACACACACACGCACACACACACACACAGGCACAATCTCTTTCTTGCTCTTTCTTTTGATTACCCTCAATGCCTTAAACACACCTGTTTTTAGCAGACAAAGCCTCAACAGTCATTTTGTCCAGAATTCCCAGTGCCTCGTCCTTCTGACCCTGGTGATTCAGCCCCTTACACAGCTGTATCCGAATCAGCAACTTCATGTCTGTGTCCTTAACGAGGTTTAACTGGTCAGTGACATACTTGCGAAATTTCTTAAAATCGAAGCCATAGGTCAGCTTGTTGGTTGTGTTGATCATATCATTATAATAAGTGTCACCTTTAAAGTCAGGCTCACTTTGGAACATGGTGTAGATGGCCTCTGCAGGTTTGGATTTATCGCGCGAGATGTACATCTCCAGTTGTTGTATACGAGCGTGCATGCTTTTGATTTCGTTGGCATTTTCCAATATCCTCTTGTGCTGTTTTTCAATCTTCTCTGTGATCTCTTTTTCGTTGGCTAGCTCCTCTTGCAGAAATTCCAGCTCAGATGTGTTGAATGTCTTGGAACTCATCAGAACCAGCATATTCTGAAGCACGGGGTGGGTGGGAGGCAAAAGCGCAGACAATGCGTCGAGCACGGTTTGCATGTGGGCCTGGTACGTTACATCAGTAACACTGGCAGTGTTGGCATGGGCAATGGCGAAATTCCTCACAAGTCTCAGTTCATCAACATGCTCGGCTTCACTGAAGGGGGTTACCCGTCTCAACTTAGATCTGTACCCCCTGCTTCTTCGAAGGTCTAATACCTTAGAGTATAGTATAGCAGCAAAGAGGGCGGTGGCATCCCAATCTTCAACAATTCCAGTTCCTATCAGAGCTCTGACATGAGCCATGTCCCTGTCAAAGAGCCTGGAATGATGAATTTTTAAAAATAATATTTAAATAACATGACACTCAGGCCCATAGCCTGCATGCAATTTCTAAAGGGGGATTCTTTTTCCGAAAAAGTGGACCTTTTCCCATAAAAACTTCAGGTACCTAGATCAAATGTAACCCAGAGTGGACCTTTTCCCAGCAACAGGGGCAGTTCTTTCAAAACCCTTGAACCCCCTGGCTACAGGCCTGCATAGCCTGCATGCAATTTCTAAAGGGGGGTTCTTTTTCTGCAAAAGTGGACCTTTTACAATGAAACCGTCATGTACCTAGAAAAAAATTTACTCAGAGGAGACCTTTTCCCCAGCAAAAAAGGGGGTTATTTTTTTAACCCTCTGATGAACCTGATACTAGGCCTAATTATGATTTCAGAATAGTTTATACTACTTTCGTCCAAGTACAATGGATTAAATTGGGAATTGCATCACATCATCTCAGGGTTCTGTACATAGTCATTGACTGACCTGTCATATTTTAACATAAAAATATGAAGTACACCAATGGATACCACGCAATTCCCAGCAATCCTATTTTAAAACTGACTACAATACTAGCACCACAGTAAAAAATAAATAAATAAATAAATAAATAAATAAATAAATAAAAAAAAGAATTACAGTTACAGGTATGAATTCTTATCCCTGCCACTTGCGACTTAACACATACCTGGCAGTGGGGTAAAGCCTGAACTCCTCTGCCAGTAAGTACTGCCCGCTGGCCACGTTGTTTCCCCAGGGATAGCCGCCCGCCGCGTAGAGGGAGTTCCATTCTTCCACAAAGAAAAAACGCAAGGCCTCGTTAACATAATCTAACACTGCTGTTGAAAGCTTGAAGAAATTCAACTGTTCAATTTGGAGCAGGATCGACATTTTCACTCCGCCTGAGACTAGCTTGACACCTGTGGTATAAGCGTGTGGTATTCAGCTTAATGTTAGAATGTTAACGCGACTAAATGTGCCACCGATTTTCATATGAAACATAAATCGCCGGCACATACTCACAAACTTGCCAAGTGCTATTTATAGACGGGAATTCCCCCGGAAGTGATGACACTGTACAGCGCGCGCATTCAGCTGCAGGTTGTCGCAGTAGACCCTCCCTTGCGGTTATCTGTGATATGATTTGGTAGTCTTGGTGGAGAACAGGCATTAGTATCTCTTAACGATTCGACTTTCTAGTTGAACATGCCTTTGGATCCTAATTTGTCACGTTATTCACGCGCAACACGTATAGAATTTTTTGGGGAATATATAATTTATCTCGTAGGCCTACGCATCTATTTTTTTAAACAAGGTGTATTCAAAGAAAAGGAGGCAATTGATTGCTACAAGCTTAAGGCCCTATATGCTTTCCTAAATTAAGTAAGAAAAACACAAAAAATACCCCCACATACAGAGAGAGAGAGAGGTAGAGAGAGAGAGAGAGAGAGAGAGAGAGAGAGAGAGAGAGAGAGAGAGCAAAAAAAAAGAAAGAAAATAATTAGATAAATAAATCATCATAACTATAAATGAAGAAAGGCCTAATTTTGGCTAATTTACTCCTATATGTATCTAGATTGATGAACACACAAGAAATAAATCGATAATATAATTTACACACAAAAATTTAACAAATTAAAAAGAATAAATTGACTTAAGAAGCAATTTCAAAGTTGTCAAGTAAGGCCGTATAGATACGGTAACATAAATCATTTCATTTTCTCAAACAGTTAAACACTTATGTCCATGAAGAAACGGTAATAGCTTTTCTTTTTGAGTTCTGAAACAGACGGTATTTTCCTGCAATGTTTCATCATTCCTTTTTTTTTTTTTTTTTTTT